ATTTTCTCTTGCAGCACATTTGTTTTATTCAGCAGAGATACAGAAGATACAGTTAGTATGTGTGTGTTTCCTCTTGTTGGTGTGGTATCAAAGAACAGACGTGCTTTCTCTAGTTTGTATTGTAGCATTCGGTGCTAGGAAATAACCCTTCAGAGATAAACATCACTTTAGAGAAGTTATCTGAGACAATAAATATGCATTTAAGAGAAGACTTATAATTTGTCATTTATTATCTCAAAACAACAAAGGACCAAGGCTCTAAAAGTCTTATCTGCACCAGTGCACTTGTGATTTTTGTTAAAAAGCATAACATGTCCTTCTCCTATGCCCCACAACAGTTGCATGACAGCAGCAGTGCATGTTGGAAGTTTTGCTTTTCCTAAGATGCATGCTTGCTTGATGTAAACAGCAGTTCTGTTTTGAGTTATCAGACACAGGATACAAGACTGCTTTTTTCTGTTTATAGCATGTTTGTTTTCTTAACTAGTGACAACGATAAAACACATGCACAGTGTAATTGTATTGGTAACTACCTCCTATGGATGGGGAGGATCCAGAAAGCAGCTCTTGTTGTATCTAAGCAACAACAGACACCCGAGATGGTCCTTAATCACTGCTGATGATGATGTTTTATTGTGTGTGTGTGTGTGTGTGTGTGTGTGTGTGTGTGTGTGTGTGTGTGTGTGTGTGTGTGTGTGTGTGTGTATGTGTGTGTGTGTGTGTGTGTGTGTGTGTGTGTGTGTGTGTGTGTGTGTGTGTGTGTGTGTGTGAGCCTTGCTCATGCACTCACAATACCAGTCATTCGCTCCCTGTGTTTATGCATGTTTGTTTATTTGCACATGTGTGTGTGAGAGTGTTTGCCTCATTAGCGTGTTTGCAGGCATGTTGGAGTTGCTTTGGCGTTGTTTGCCGCCAGCGTTGCCATGGCAGCGACTGATGCCTTTAATGCAGCCATCGGAGGGGAGGATTTAGATGAGAACGTGGGATGCTGAGATTTTTACTTCTGTGTGTGTGTGTGTGTGTGTGTGTGTGTGTGTGTGTGTGTGTGTGTGTGTGTGTGTGTGTGTGTGTGTGTGTGTGTGTGTGTGTGTGTGTGTGTGTGTGTGTGTGTGTGTGTGTGTGTGTGTGTGGCCTAGCATTACTATACTTGTGGGGACCTAAATCTGTTTACATGGTCACATGTGGGGACTCGCCTCCCTTATGGGGACAAAATGGAGGTCCCCATGAGGGGAATCATTCATTTTAAGGTAAACACTTCAGACCGCCTTCTTCTGTCAGAGTGAGAGACCCACACTGCCCTCCACTGCATCAAACTGAAAGAGAGATTACTAAATGTCAAGTATTACTATACTACAACAAAAGTAATTTTGTTGTTTTATTTGTATCTTTCCACAAGCTTTACATAGTCTAATTTGAATGACATTGAAAGCATGATACTAATATTTTCATTCATAGTTCTGACTTAAATTCTACTTTTTTCATCTATTTTCTCTATTTTTTCTCCATTCTTCACTTATTGAAACAAATATACTGTTTGTTTTTTCCTTCAGGAACAGCTTTTTATTTATTTATTTTGCTAAAGTCTCTCACACAATCCAAAGAAAAATGCTCAAAATAGAAACTGTTCATTCGACTGCAACTAATTATTATATTATTATATCATTTGGTCTGTAAAATGTCAGAAAAAACATAAATATATATATATATACTGTTTAATGTCATAGAAGACTGAAAAACCTGCGCAAAAATGGACATTTAATAAACTACAAAAATCTAATTGGAGGCACATTTACCTTAAATTGACTCATCTATTATTGTCTACTGTTTACTCCAATAGTCTTCATTTCTATTTATCATAATTGGTATTCTGCTTGTCAGTTTCTTTTCATCATTTATAACTCTTAATCTCATTTAAGCATGTTGCTTTAAAAATCAACAGGTGTCTGTCAAAATAAATCCAATGAAATCTCACTAACAATGATCTGCAGTGTCCTTCCTTACGCTTTGCACTCAGCCCTGAAATATATATGCTTAGTTTGCCGTGGCGGACTGGCCATCGGTACCGAAGTGGGCCGGTCACTAGTTTCACTAGCACCCCCCCAATCCCCCAATCCCCCCCCGTTCAGTACGTGGCGGTACTGAAGTGGGCCGGTCAAGATTCCCGGGTTGATTTTTAGTCCCAGTCCGCCCCTGTTTGTTTGTGAGTAAACATTGCCACTGTTTTAATGAAGAACCTCAGCAAATGTGTCGGTGTGAGCGTTCACACTGACTCCCTGAAACATGAAGATTGCAGCCTTATTTCTCTCCTTGTTCACCGTGTCTGATAATATTTAATATAAGCATAGCAGAGAGTGATCCTGCTTCTACTCTCTGTTATAGTGTTATTGTGTGTCACAAACTAAAGGTGGGTTAGCCTTTCTTTCCTCTTTAAGTTATTGATTGAATCATGCCGTATGAATCTCCTATTGCTGACATTTTGCTAAGTGGGGCAGTCGGCCCATTGGTCACTTACAGTAGATGTTGTCGCCATGGTGAGGGTTCCATGCTCACGCCATCTAGCCCCCCCTACTCTTGTTGCTATGTAACAGCACTTCTTTTTTCTCTCCATTTGTGTCACACTCCTAGGTTTATGTCACGGTTTTAGTGTTGTCTGTCTGGTTATGGGTTTTGTAAGTCTGTTTTGTCTTCCTCCTTGTGTTTTGTCTGGTCCTCCTCCCTGTCGTTAGTTTCCCTGGTGTGTCTGATTGTCTCATTGTGTTCACCTGTTGCCCTTGTGTTTCTCCCTCCCCTGCCCAGCTGTGTCTTGTCCTGTGATTACCCTTCTGTGTATTTAGTCTAGTCTTCCCCTGTGTTCCATGTCGGTCCATTGTTTTCCCTCCTTGTTATTCCACGGTCCACGTTCTTTGTGCTGCTCGTTTGTTTTTTTTGGATATTTTGGATACTGCCTTTTTGACACAGCTTTTATTATTTAATAAAGCTCGCTTTTTGTTAAATTCTGCATTTGAGTCCTACTTGCTTCACCCCCTCGTAACAATTTGGCAGTTATCACACTGGGAAATGTCACGTATCCTTCACATCATCTGCACTGCTTTTACCTGGCCATGTGAGAGAGAATACGCCAAAGGGAAGGAGAGTTTAATTACCACCTGTCATGTTTTACAACTTAATTTGTGACAATGAGTCTGAGTATTTTTTCTTGTTTTTGTTGATTTGTCGTTTCATTTCAAACCTTTATTTATACAGATAAATCCCATTGATCTCTTTTTCAAGGGAGACCTGCTCAAGTAGTTCCACATGAAACATAAAAACATAAATAGAACAACAAAAGGACATCATACAGCATCATTTACATAATTATCCACATAAACAGGTACCAATAGCTTCCGATTGAGTAGCATCCAATCGAGCTTTAAAAACATTTAGTGGCACCAGATTGTTCAGTTTCCATTTAATTTGCAGACTATTCCAAGACAGAGGAGCTGCGCATCTAAAAGCTGTCTTCCCTAAGACAGTCCTAGCAGTTGGCACATTTAATAAAACCACAGCATTCGATCTCAGGCAGTAGCCACTTACAATTTTCCGTGAGATCAGGGAGCAGATATAAGATGGAAGTTTCCCTAACATGGCTTTGTATATAAAAAAGGGTTTGCTGAGCCCTTACACCCACCAGTGTTATAATGCAGTTTTCACAAGTGAACAGTTTGTTTTGCCTCGTAGCACCTGTTGTCAGCTTATGAGGTGTCTGACTTGATGAGTCATTAGTTGAGTAACTGAGGACAGAAACACTGACATGTGTCTATCTCAGGAGGACTTTGTCATGATTTGCCTGGCCCTGGTTCTTTGTCCTTTCTCACCCCCCTCAGGCCATGTACTCTCCTAACATCCTCAGAGTATCCACCTGATGGCCTCAGGCTCTCTCACCAGTTATCGGACGTCCCCTCCATCCTACACACCTGGTCCATCTTCCCTAATCAGTTCTGGCCCCCTCCTCACCTGCATCTTGTTCTGCTCTGCTCTCTCCACATATATGAGGCCACTCCCTGTGTTCCTTAGTGAATTCATCTCAAGTTGCACTGTTTTTTTTGCCTTTACGAGTTACATGTCTGCCAGTTACCTGCCTATAATCCTGCTTTCTGAATATGAGTCTTATTACTGTTCTCTTATTCCCCACTCAGTGACTATCTGTATCTACAGACCTACTGTATGGTGAAATAACAAAACTATAATATTCCCAAAGCAATTTTCAATTAAAAAAAAATCCTACAGAACTTTTTTTATTGGATTTAAATAAATAAAAAGCCAGTTTGAAGTAATGCGTTTTCTAACAAATGATAAGGTATATCACGACTTGTGATATTATATTTTTGCTGATATCCGATATATTTTCCACTCATTTTGGCCGATTGTGATTTCCCAAAAAGATTTTCGCACATGTTTCTTTCAAACTAATTGCAGACAAGTCATGAACCTTCCTATACTGTATGGGAATTAGCATACTAGCTCTCTTTGAGGCGGATTTTAAAGGCCTTATATCTGCAGACACCAAGGACGTTTCAACATCATCGTGCATGCCTCATTTTGCTTTAATAAAACGACATATGTTGAAGTGTCATTTGTATCTGTAACTTGCATTACATAATATATTTATATTTCCTTTAATTGTTTTGCCAATATGGTTTAAAAATAAACTTGCAAAGACTCAAGTTGTACCTGGGATTATTAATACACACATATAGTACACAGAGGTAATTTTGCCTGCACTGAAGCTCATATATTTTCTGTTTGCTGTTCGGCCTTGGAGTGACTCGTAGTGACTCACTCCTCTATCTCTGACTGTTTTAACCCCTGAGACAGTGTGGAGTCTCTAAATCTGACCTGTGGCTAGAGAACACACTCACATACACACACACACACACACACACACACACACACACACACACACACACACACACATACACACACTAACTTATGGTGACATGTTCACTCTTTCCATCTTCTAGTGGGCGAAGCCAGGAACCTGATTCCTATGGATCCGAATGGTTTATCGGACCCTTATGTTAAACTCAAGCTCATCCCCGACCCAAAGAACGAGACCAAACAAAAGACCAGGACCATCCGCTCCTCTCTCAACCCCTGCTGGAACGAGTCCTTCAGCTTGTAAGTCAACAAGAGTGTCTAACATGTTGTGTATGTTTATTTATGAGAAGGATGGTCATTTGGCAGTATCAAAGGAAATAGAATAAAAAGGTACAAAATGAGGGTAAATCCTAAAAAGATCACATCTCGTAACTCGTCCCCTGTCTGTGTGTTTTTCTTTTGCAGTAAGCTGAAAGCATCAGATAAGGACCGACGTCTCTCCATTGAGGTTTGGGATTGGGACAGAACCACCAGGAACGACTTCATGGGCTCCATGTCGTTTGGCGTGTCCGAGCTCATCAAAGCTCAAAACTGTGGATGGTCAGTCGCCTTCCCTCGTCCCTGTGTTGTAAATCAATCATTTATAAAAGAATTTCAAGCATGATTTTACAGAAAATAATGAATGTTAAAATGACCCTTTATTCAAACTTCGAAAGGAAGAGTTAGTGTTAGCAGTTTTTATTATATTTTAAATACAGTAAAGGTCACATTTCTGTAAAGGGCTTTCAAGGTCAAATTGTCTGTTAACGATTGGTCCTTTACAAATTACATTTTAAATCATTTTACAGTCAGAAACATAAATGGTATGCTAGAGTAAGTTAATGTGGTTCGAGCAGACTTGACACTGGCCTCCACCATCCAACCACTTTCACTATGAAACAGCCGCACATTGTGTGTAAAACAGACGTAAACACTGCTGCCTCCATTCACTCTGACAAACAGCCGCTGCCGCCGTCATTTCCTCGTCTCTCTGTCCTTGTCTGCCTGTTTTGTCTCCTACTGTTAAACACTTACACTCATATTATGTCCATGTTAGCATACCTGCTTCGACCTAGCCTAAACTGAGCCTGCTCAACAGTTGCTTTATGTTACAAAGCTTCAGGAAATATCTGTATCTCGTAAACTATTACTGTGAGTATTTATCTGCAGTATATATTCTCCAGGTCATTAGACAAGTGGCCAGAGGATGTGTTTATTAGAGATGAAGTGTAGACATGCAAACGCTCAGAGCAGGGGAATCAGCTTCTGATTATTGAAGTGGTGCACTGCACAGTTGTAAAGTGTTATGGCACAGAGGAAGAAATGAATGGGTTTAAATGGAAGCAGATCAAATATAGCTTCACTTCTTTATGTTTTTCTTCTCCACCTCAGGTACAAGTTGCTGAACCAGGAGGAGGGAGAGTATTACAACGTTCCCATCCCCGAGATGGACGACGTAAACCTGGAGCTCCTACAGAAGTTTGAGGTGAGGTCGACTGAACTACTAAGATTCAATAAAAATGTTCTTTGTCACACATGTACAAATGTATATTGTACACATTCACTTCCTGTCACCATAGAAACATCATCCTGTTCCCAGGTTCACCCTGCGGTTCAGAGAGAGAGAGATCACATCTCCTGGCATTAATAAGTGAATGGAAAAATAGGAAACTCCCCATTATGTGTATACAGTACAAGGTTACAGTCGACAAAGGAAGAGCCTTATGTAAGATGTGTAGCTGCCGTTAATAATTGATAACACTCACCCCTTTCAGTGGAAATAATAATAATGTAATCAGGAGAACAGTCTGAATGAGGTCTAGAAAGGTTTTCTGTTGTTGAAATAGCAGCTTTAATGTTGTGCTGTGTCTCCTTGCCCTAATTGGACTCTTATGTAAAGCTGTTCCAAGCAGAGGACTTCTAATAGCCAAGACTAAAACAACACAACACAGGATGTTGATTCAGGATACATTTCCATAAAAAAACAAGTATACCAACTCTACTCATTTCAGTTTTGTAATTTGAACTTTGTTATTATACAAGGCTTAAAACTAATAGTGTCCTTCTTTATGATAAATTCCAGCCATGTTGTGTTTGTTTCTTGTTTCTTGTTTTGTTTTCTTGTTTCTTGTTTGCATTTTTTATCTTATTTGTTTTAATCCTTTATAACTTACATTACAATTGTCCATACAATCTTTGCAGAACAGCACATTATTACTGTTGTATATACTGATTTTATTATTAAGTGTGTACTCGGATGAAAACAATGTTTATCAAATAATGTAACTTTGATTAAAAAAAGTAAATACAATGGTGACTGTGATACCTCCAATTTAAAGCAAGTTTTTGAGACTTAAAAACAAAACATTTTGTTGCTGTATGGACATCACAACTTATAGCTCTGTAGTAAAGTGTTTTCTTTAAAAATGTAAAACAAAATCATGTAAAAACACATGTGTTTCTTTAACCAAATCTAATAAAATATATAATGCAGGTAACTCTTGCTCTCTAGTGGGCAGCCTGTTAACTGCAGGGAGGTTTTTGTTACATCAAACCATCTGTGCTTTAAATAAAACTCATAACATCTACATATCACTAACATGCAGGTAAAAGATGGCTCATATAATAAAGCTTGCACACACATATGGATGCAAGAGAATGGGGGGGGGGGGTTTTAAGCCCACCTCTGTGTGCATTCAGGTGTTTTAATACTGAGTGTAAATGTAATCTTCTTTACAGCAGCCCTCAAGACATTTAAGTCTTGTTTTTTAATTTTCCGTTTCACTCCATAATGTGACCTTGACTTTCCTCTGAGGCTATAGCATCTTCAAGCATCTTCTGTTGCCAAGGAAACCTGGGCAAGACGCAGCGATGTAACCAGATGTGACAGAAAAATATGTACTCTGTTCTCCAGTCATGCATTTGATCATTTTATCGTTAATATAGATGAATGATTTCACCAAGATAATGACTTATCAAGCCCACGTCTGTCTGCTGTCAGCTCCCAGCTCATCATGCTAACACCAGCTAACCTTCAATAAATGAGTTTCTTCTTTCTTCTAGGCCTGCCAGTTAAATATCCACTATCTCAAGGTAGCGCTTCTGCCTGCTCCGTCTCTATTTCTTCATCACTTTTACTCACTTTAATTACCGTATTAGGATTGTTTGTGGACCTCCGTTGGGCTTCCACAAATTAATCTGATTTACTAACAAAGGCTCTCAACAGTTTATAGATGCCCAATTTGCTTTCTGTTGTACACACAATTCTGTAACTCATCACACACTTATACACCAACTCTCTTCTCCTTTCTGTCTCATGTTTAATGACAAATATGAAACTGAAGGGATTACATTTCATTCTAATATAAAGGAACAATTCAGTCCTACATTTTGAGGATGATGCATAAAATCAGCATCAGCAAGTCTGAAATTACAGGAAAAGCAGCAGCACAGAAAAAAATATGAATATAATGAATAATTAAAAAAGTGCTGCATATCCCTTTACCACACAGCATTGTTGTTAGTAAATATGTGGACTACTCCGTCCTCTGTTGGTCTTACCACCTTTTAAACTCTCACTGTGCTGTCATTGGCCAATAGAGCTTCAAAGCCGCTCCTCATTGGCTGACAGTGTGGTCCACAGTCACCCCTCTAATAGTCCTGCTTTGGTCTGGACTATAGAAGGCTGACAGGACATGAAGCATGGACGGGCACTTATGCACTGTAGCTGTCTGAATGAAAGCACACACAGGCAGGTTCCTGCTGTTGTTGGTGTGCATGCCTAATCTCCCCACACGGTGGCAGTGTTGTACTTTCCTATAACACTAGTGTGGCTGCATTGTATGTGTTTGAATTCAACTTTGTGTGGCAACTCTCACTTAAATATTCCAGCACTTTGTTTGTGTTGAAACGGGGTGATGTCGTTTTTTTGTGTGACATTTTTATGATGTGAATTGTTAGTGTTTTGTGTTGTCAAAATGACCACTAAGGGGGACAATAGAACATGATCCGCCCGACTTTTCAAGTGTCTCCTTGGGAGAAAACTTTAATACAAGACAAAATCAATAACAGCGATGTGTTTACTGGAGATATAAAACTTGACATGCACTTAAATATCTCCAGCTATACATTTGACAAATACGGATGTAAGCGCATCAGCACTTTGGTATATAAGAATGAAAAACGAGCCGTAAGCAGTTGTAAAACAAAAAGAAAAAGTATACAAAAGCAGTCCCAAAGATTTGTGTCAAGTTATTAACTCAACAGTTTATTGTAGGATGTTGGTGACGATCTGTAAACCTGACTAGTATTGCTATCCTTGATAGTGCATTTAATTGTGCCTTTTATAAGAAGAATGTAAACCTATTAGGCATCAGGGTACTGCTGGTTTTTATTCCAGCTGTCTCCTCTTAGACTTAATGAAAGCTGGGCTGCCAGTGCCAGGTGAAGCTAATGAATAAATTACTCGGTAGCAGGACCCTGGTTGACATCCTTAATGTTGACATTATTCTACTCTAAATGGATCTACAGTAAGGCGTACATGTAACCAATCAACCTCGGTCACAAATATAGAGAAATGGTTGGCGTGGCAACAGCCTCTCTGTGCCCCACTAGTTCCTGTTTTCTGTATCTGACCGAAAACAGACACCGGTTGCAGCGGCGATGGGAGCTGGAAGAATCCTAATTGCACTTTTAGTTCAAAGACGCTTGGCAGGCCAGTCATTAAAACAACAGGGAACCTTGCAATGTTGGCTCCCCCGACCAGGACTGACTGCCCACCCCACAATTGCACAAAACACCCGAGTAGAGATCCTGCTGAAATCCTTCTGTAAGGATTTCAGCAGGATTTCATGTCAGTGAGAAAAAAATAGATCAGTACGAGTAACAGTAAAGACACTTGCTTTCATTCTGATTCATGAATATGAGGCGAACCAGTTTTTGATGATGGTAAGAGATGTTAGCACCAATAGCAAATGAGAACGTTATTACTGGCAAACAGACTTGTTCATCATTTATTAAAATCTAAAGTAATAACATGCTAAGTCCAGTAGAATTATTAAATTAATAAATGTAACACTTAACCAATTTGGTGCAAAGACATGATGTATCATTTTAACTTTATTGTTATTTTTGAAATAATAATGCAGTAAATATATATGTAACACTTTATTGTGAGTTTGTCAGTGACAGCTCCAACCCATTTTATAAAAGTAAAGAAAGTATGTTTTATAATATTTTTAAAAGTTTTCCTGGTTCTTACATTATCAATTGTTAATGCTATTTCTGATTTAAATTATATAGATTAGAACTTAGAAAAACAGCAGTACAACACACAATCCTATTATGCTTAAAATCTGAAGAGCAATATTGCTAAGGAGAAAAAAACAACCAGTGATTAAGTCCTGCCTGATGTGGCAGTCTGTGACGTGAACACACACCCACATGAAGACTTAAGGCTTTATTTGTTCATGTTAAAACATCAAACTATGTAATTAAATTCCTTTTAAATTTGACTTCAATGCCATTTCCACTGTTGTACACCACAGAAAGCCAAGCTGGGCCACGGTAAGAAAGTGATCACGCCGTCAGACCACCGGAGGTTCAGCCTGCCTTCGAGTAACATGGACCGCATCCGACTGAGTGACTTCAACTTCCTGGCCCTGCTGGGGAAGGGCAGCTTCGGCAAGGTGAGAGCCGTCACAAAAACAAACTTAAAGGTCTCCTATCATACTGTTTTTCATCAATATATTATATTGTTACGTTCCCTTCTAAATCTAGGGGGGTACAAAGGGAAGTAACCACACACAAGGATGACCAAGCGTGACAAAAAAAGGAGAGAAAACCGATCTCTTAGTAACGCACCAGTCGTTTAATGACCAAAAAAGAAACACGGGCTCACCAGCCAATTTGCACAGAATTATACAGCATCGATTATAGCACGGAGCTCCCCTCCTATCAAATGGCAACACACAGGTCTGCACACATGCAGCCAGAGGAGGAAAAACGGAGAGCCCACTGCAGTCTTCCTCCGGGCCTATATGGAGGCCCTGATTAGGAATTCGGAGCACCTGGGGAGAGGCTGCACCTGGGGACAATCAGGCTGCACCTGGGGAATCAGAGGGAGAGAGAGAAACACACATACACGACCACACAAACACTACGGCACGTAACATATATATATACAAAACATGTCTCTGAAGTGTTTGGGTCGAAATACCAAACAGATCACCCATTGTAGCATCCCATAAACCCCTCTGTTTCAGCCCTGTTTCAAAAAGCTGATTCTCTGTCTTTTACTTTAGATGAAAATAAGAAGCCCCTCCCCACGCCCCTCTGAGAGATATTTGGTTAAAAGAACACAATGGTGCTCTAGGAGGAGACTCGGGTGATAAGGGGGGGGGAGGAGGTTACCTTGGTTGGTTATTGGCTAATGGTTACACAAGCCAAAAAATCGTTATGACATCATAAAGTGGCCAAAATCTGATCAGTTCATTTTCAGACAGGTTTTTATATAAATGGATCAGGACAAAAAGAGAGAGAATCTTTTTTCCTGAAACTTTCAGAATCTCTTTAAACAGAGGAGACACATGTTGATGTATAAATAAGTGACCTTTAATTTACCATCATCTGTGATTAAACTCAAGCATGTATTCCTTGTATGTGTTATTTTTACCTTCACACTAACACAGGAGCAGTTGAACAGTGTCTTACTATGGAAACATAATTTATTGATTAACTGTTTCCAACATGTTTTCTTGTTCTGTTTTTAAAGCTGTGTTAAAATACAACACACACCTTGTTTTCTGATTTAAAATCAATCATTCATTTTGCTTCCATGTGACCTTGGGTGTCTTCATCATCTGCAGGTGATGCTGGCAGAGATGAAGTCGACGGAGGAGCTGTACGCCATCAAGATCCTGAAGAAAGACGTGGTGATTCAGGATGATGACGTTGAATGTACGATGGTGGAGAAGAGGGTCCTGGCCCAGAGGGACAAACCCCCCTTCCTCACGCTGCTCCACTCCTGCTTCCAGACTGTGGTGAGTCAAAACTTCCACCAAAGTCGTGACTATTTTTAATGCATACTTTCTACACTTCTGCAGCACTGCACAGCCACACAAACAAATCTGACTTTATTCAAATGGTGCCTCTGTGCTCCCTCATCATTCTTTCAACAGCAACTATTCAATCCCTGGCATTTCACTCTTTCTACTTCCCTACAGTTATTGTCACTCTTTTTCCGGCACTCCAGCAGAGAAAATTGATACTTAGCTGAGACCAGTCTTGAATATAAAGTCTCCAGTATGACGTCAATTATGTGCGTAGACAATATGACTCAAGCAGAATTTAATAAAAACTCTATTTACTGATCAATGCATCCTGACCTATAATACAGGTATATGAGCTGACTGAGGTTTCTGTCCTGAAAGAATGAATCGGCATTTTAGTATCTCGAGGACGGCCAGGTGTAAAGACACGATACATATAAACAGAGATTTCTAAACATGTTTTTTCTTTACAAAAAATCATCCTATGTAATGCACTGATGGTTGGAGTGGGCACACTCTTTGTGTGGAATCAATTTCGAGCTGCTCTTTAGGCAATAACGTCTTTTTTATTATTATCTAGGATCGGCTGTACTTTGTGATGGAGTACATCAACGGAGGAGACCTTATGTATCATATCCAACGTATGGGCAAATTCAAGGAGCCACAGGCAGTGTAAGGCAATCTATAGTTCATTCACATGCATCTGTTTTAATAATAATCAAGTTAAACACCATGGCAGATAATATAAGCAAGCCTTGAGTTAGTGCTAATAAAGCAGCAGGATTTTACTGAAATGTTGGACCTAACATTTTATATTTTGCGGGAAAATAACTCCTTTTTAATGTATTTCTAAATTATGTAATGTTATAAGATAATATTGTAAAAGAGATGGGTAATGACATGCAACAAAGGCACGTTCAAGTTGTTATGCTTTTACCCACATTTATTAATTTATTTTTTTAGGACAAAATATTATTTTTCTTGATTTCAGCAGAACTGCTTTCTTGGCCCAAGAAAAGATGATGTAAGATATTTATTTTTCTCATTTCCGGTTCTGCAGGTTTTATGCTGCAGAGATTGCTGTGGGTTTGTTTTTCTTGCACCGAAAGGGAATCATCTACAGGTGGGTGAGTCAGAGAGAAATGTAATGGCGCACCACATTCACTCAAATCCCTTTATTGATACATATATAACAACATACACAGACTTTCTAGACAGATAGATGAGGTGAGTATAAGCAGATGAGTATGAGCAGAGTTTTTCTATTTTGTTGAGAGAGCAGAGGGTGACTAATGTAAGACAGAGAAGAAGAACAAATCTATAGGAAATGATTTTGAGCGTGAAGTGAGGAAAACAAGTTCAGACAAGCTGAATCTGAAGATATGGGAATTGAAGTAAGACATGATAAAGTAGTTTAGATATCAACTCTGACAGAAAGACTGATGGCAGAGTGAAGCAGGAGATAACAGAAAAGATGGAAACAAAGAAATGAAGAAAGGGTCAGATAAGACAGCAGGTCCTGAGAGAGATAGAACATGTAGTGTAGTGAAAAAATAGACGTGTAGATTTAACAATGCTGTGTGTTAATGCACAGCTTTGATATTCCTTTATAACTATACTAATTAGAAAGGAAAGAAAAAAAGACTAGACTAGGTCACCCAGTTCATCATCAGAACTTCAGCTTAGGAGTCACATCCATCTTTCATATCTTGCATCCTGACATTCACACTATAGTGAATTAAGGAGGGAAAAAAAAAAAAAAATGGAGACATGAAACATAAGCGCAGACACAGACTGAATAGTAAGAGCTCCGAAAAAACACACAGGGGGAAAAATGATTTCAGGCCAAGAAGTTATTGTTTGTTGTTTGTACTACTCGCTTGACTAGACAGCTGAACAATATACAACACGAATCAAAGTGGTCATAAATCAAGCCAGAAATTAAGTAAGTTCACAAATGCTCACGACCTGTCTCTGCTGCAGGGATCTGAAGCTCGACAACGTCATGCTGGACTCCGAGGGCCACATCAAAATCGCTGACTTCGGCATGTGTAAGGAGAACATGTATAATAGCATGACCACACGCACCTTCTGCGGCACCCCGGACTACATCGCACCGGAGGTGAGAAGGACAGGACTCTGATGGATTGATGCATTTGGTGTCACTGGGTCACATGACATGGAAGCTATTGAAAAATACTGAAATCATCTACTGTTAAAATATTGATGTAAAATCTACTCATGACTCATCAGTGATCCAAAAAGGTATTCAACACAAGAAATATGTATTGTGCTTTTTGTAGCATACTTCACAAATTTAGCAGAGTTGTTGAAAATAACTTTGGGTTTGTGTCAAACTGTACTTTTGTATGGTCCCTAAAGCGGAACCCTGTGATTAAGAGAAGGACAGCGCTTATATCTACGGTATCTTAATATGGTCCCATACAGAAGGCTGTCTATTCTCAGTAAGGCTCATTAAAAAAGTACTGTATTCATACACAGTAAAGAGGTGGTAGATGATGTATAAGAACATTTCTGTCGGTGTATATCCCCTCCCGACTGTCTGCACTGACTTATGAGGGGATGGAGGGAAGACCTTACTCGTGGTTTCTCACAGAACTCCAAGTGGGTATTTTTCCAGACTTTCTTGGCTCTAAATATAAATTGGAGACCACTCAACAATCTTTTTTTGTACACATGATATTGAAGACTTTATAATTAGTTAATGAGCCAGCTTGTTGTTGATAAAATAGACATCCTGGTTTCAATGTATGGTATTATAGAACAAAATGTGTGCTATTCTGACCTGGAAAGTAATTTAGAGGATAGAAAAACATCAGTATTGTCTGATTAGGTATCAGCAGAGAGACATGTGTTTAATTGGTAACCCTGTGAACTGGATACATTGCTGCATTTCTGTCTCTCTTGAAGGCGAGTGCAGCTGTTATTTCGCTCTTTGCCTCTGCATCTGCATGGTTATTATTTTGTGTAGACTGTGTGTGGGAAGGAGGTGTAGGATGGCAAATTGGATGGTGGCAGAAAGAGCCTTTGTGATAGCAGTTTAAAATAGCTGACTGTATTTAATGGCAGATTTTGTAAGAGAGAACTCTTCACTGTTTCTCATGAGATCTTTAACTCTGTGTGAGGTGTGTAGCATTTGGCAGCAGACATAAAGCCATCTTTTATTACTGAGCATGATAATGACCAAACTTGTTTGAATACATAGATGTGGTGATGTGTGCTCATGTGTAATAACTCCAAGGTTTTAATCGTGTCACTTCTTGTCTCATACAGATTATAGCATACCAGCCTTATGCAAAATCAGTGGACTGGTGGGCTTATGGAGTTCTTCTGTATGAGATGCTGGCAGGACAGGTACAATGTTTTATACTGCACTGATACTGGTTTATATGTGTGTTTGTTTTTACTGTGAATGTGTATCATGAGACTGTCTGTCTCTTGTGTACATCCTGCTTCAGGGATATTAAACTGTGTGAAACATGTGTCATCAAGATGAGAAACTACCTAAAATGGTCTGATCGGTGAAATGTTGAGACATTCACACAGACAGTACATCCTACATTTCCAGGCAACAAAAGATATGTTTCTTACTGAACATTAATGTCACATAGAAATTGGAGCAGGATTTGCTTTTCTCTAAGAGAGTGAATCCAATCCAATCATTTATATAGCACAAACAACAGAGTTGACCAAAATATGCATAAATACTGTGACGGGGTTCTATTTGTCCGTTTGAAACATAGGCTTAGTCGGTTGAATTAAGCGCCAAAACTTTATTCATAACAGCAACAAAAATATATATATACTGTTTGATGAAAGTGAAACAGTATAACTTAAATAAACAAAATCAAAAGTTACCAAATTAGGTTGTCTATCACTCATGGAGTAAACACATTCTGGCTGTTGCCTTCACTGCAACAATCTCCCGAATGAATCTTCCAGGGCCAACACCGTCCCTTTTGAACCCATAGCCCCTCCCCACAGGCTTACCGTCAACAGGTTACACAATTAACTCCAAAACCACATTGTCAACATAAATCTCTCAAACATGAGGAAACTATCCCATCAAAACATACACAGGTTAACTTCCTCTTAACACAATCATTCCCCATAATTAATAAACGCAAAATAAATAATAAATTGCATGGTTCATGACATTCTATTTAAATCACAGAAGTGATGCGCCTCCGTCTTTTCCACATTCCCTTTCACTTATGGTCGCGCTACAGAAAGGAAGGGCACAAAGGGACGTTTTAGTGATGATTTAAGGACGAACGGAAGAGAGCAGGAAATGTGTGTGTGTGTGTGTCGCGGCTGTCAGTGGCGGAGTCCGCTCTGTCACAAATACATTTAGACAAGAAGAAACTAATGTAAAAGCACCAGACAATAAAGCCATACTTATAGCCACGGACTGAAAACCCTCATGCTTGATGTACATTTATTTTTTTAAACACAACAAAATAGAAAACCCAAATTTAGAAAACAGACTGAATGCTGCAATAGAACCTACAGCTGCCAATGCAATACATACAGAGAGCTAAATCATAGTTTTATGTTATTTATGCAGTTAAATGTACCTACAATTTATCAATACATTACAAGAAAATAAACTGTACGTTATACACACAGGTTACAGCGCTCGGCTTCACACAGTGATGCTGTCAGCTCGGTTTCCTGTCAGGTTTCACAGAACAAGACTCCAGCTGTGACACATTTCATCTTTCTCTTCAGCCGCCGTTTGATGGAGAGGACGAAGACGAGCTCTTCCAGTCCATCATGGAGCACAACGTGTCCTACCCCAAGTCCATGTCTAAAGAAGCTGTGTCCATCTGCAAGGGAGTAAGTACTGTGTTAAAGTGCTTTAGGGGGGGTTATACAGCATATCACATATTTGTGAAGAGTCTAAGGTCATTTTAACTGGAGATATGTTCAACAGCTGATTAAATACTTTGATGCCATTAATTGTTATTCAGTTTGTTATTTCTTAAGAAAAAACATGCCGAGCCATACATGTGTTCAGTTGACATGTAAACCATTTCTGCACAAACAAAATACCTAGTTCCCATTTGTATTCACTGTAAGAAATGTTCAGCATTATTGGTCCTTTATTTAGCAGGCACCTGTTTCCTCTCACCTAGGAAACATGTTTTTGGCATCATAACAGTGAAGCGTCAAGACATTTATTTAAGGAAATGTTTTTTCAACGTTTACACTCCAGAGATGATTCAATTAACATTCAAGCTCAGTCTGATCAAGTATTTTAATAACGTACCCGCCTTCATTTATTACGATATTAAAGCCGGGATGCCATGAGAAATGTCATTTATCTTCTCAGAGCTGGGGACAAAAGCGATATCCCTGATCATTATTGTTTGCTTCATGGTCAAAATGAAAAGTGGAAATCAGAAATCGAGCTATAAAAAGGCAGTTTAATTTCCTGCTGCTATTTAAAGCGTAGAGCATCAGTGTGGCTCTGCACAATGTTTACGGTGTGATAAAGTAATATAACGCAGAAGAAGGGAAAGGAAAGTGAATTGCTGATATACAAGCGTCACACTTGCATTTTCCTCGTGCTGCTGGCTGTCACTTCTTCTTATCCCATCTCTTCTGGCTGCCTCCAGCTGATGACCAAGCACCCGTCAAAGCGTCTGGGCGGTGGTCCCGAGGGGGAGAGGGACATCAGGGAGCAGGCCTTCTTCAGACGCATCGACTGGGACCGCCTGGCAAACAGAGAGATCCAGCCGCCATTCAAACCCAAAGTGGTGAGTGTGACATCATTCAGTTCAGCTAAAGAAGGGGTGTCCAAACTTTTTTCACCGAGGGCCAAATACAGAAAAATATACGAAGGGCTGGACTACTTTCTAGAGGTGAGGTTTATAGCCTCATAAGTTAAGTTATAAGTCAGCAAAGTCAATCAAATGTAGGTCAATTATTCTTAATCAGCCTAAATCACAGCTCTCCATAGGGTTTCAATTATTTTGTTTTCAGCTCATTCCTTAAAACAGAAGCCTCAGATTGATTATCATAAGAGGAAATATGAAAGGTATATTTCAAGCTTGTTATATAAATAAGTCATTGGGCTGTTTTCTTATCAACTTAGATTTGTTAGAACATTTATTTCAACTTTAATTGACTGAATTTATTTGAAAAGTGGGCTCATTAACAAATGAATACTACTGTATAATATCTGTTTTTATATATATATATGTAAGAAGTACAATACAAGACAAGCACAAGTTTCATTTGAGGGCCATACTGCATTATAACTTTTTGAATTTGCTGAGGGCCGATTCAAAATGGTCCGCGGGCCGCATTTGGCCCCTGGGCCGTAGTTTGGATACCCCTGAGTTAGACAAGTATCTAAAGGTTTCAGCCTTTTTAAAACAAATGTACCTTTTTGGAAATCCCCAGACATTAGTTCATGTCTGAGCTGTAGTAGAGGAGCACATGTTTTATTTAAAAACACTAACTTTGGCAGACACTGTTCTCCTATTAGCTTTACTGACATTAAAATAGATTCATAAATGGATCCCTTTGGAGCTAGCACAGAAAGAAAGAATATTATTATCAGCATACGAAACACCAAAAACGTTTTCTCTGTGGCAGCAATTTACATTTTTAGTTGACATTTTCGAAGCAGTGAGATTATTGGACAACAACATTGTTTGAAAGAGCCCCTGTTGTTGTTCATAGTATTACTTGGCATTTCTCTGCTGCTTCCCATTGGCTATGGTGTTCCTTGAATTCATGAATTTATTCTGGCCACACACACTCCAACAAAATGTATTGAGCTTTGATAACAAAGAACGAGACAAACAAGCAGGTCTTAAACATGATGATTTATTCAATAGATCATTTCCATCAACTTTAAGCTCACTTTTCCATCAGCAATGAAGGGCCATTAGATATTTTCAGACCCACAAATATACGTTGGATGACGATAGAAACTAAAAATAGCAAATCACCAGGACCAAAACACTCTTGAATGCATTGCAGTTGAAGAATTTAAGTACTTCCTCTGAGAGTCTTTAAGTGTGTTTGCATGAATGCGTGCACATTGTATATCTGCGTCCCATTCACCCAGTGTGATGGTTTCATGCAGCCAGCAGGGCTTGAGGTAGGGTCCCAGCTGCAGTCACCAGCCTGACACTTGCCCCCCCCGCCCCAGACACCCAAATCTCCGCCTGTCACCACAAAACACACACTCTTTTTCAGTTTGTGGACCCCCGCATACTCCTCTCTGCCCACTGTGCCCGAAGCAACACCCGAGGATTATAAATAGCTCTCTAATGGCAGAGTTCCCTTTGCTTTCACACAAGGGCCACATGGCTGCATGGCTGCACAGCGGAAGTATCCGTCTCCACTCACAAAGGGGGGGAAGGAAAACATTGCTAAAAGAGGATCCATCCACTCAGGAGGTCTTCGCGTGGTGTAGCACATTTGTGAGCGTCATTAATTGGCCTGAAGGGACTAGCAAACAAAAGACCCTTCTGAGGCTTTCTGTGATATTACCATCTCTGGATATTACAGCTGGAAATGCCTGACATTCTTGCTCCCCTGAAATCACCACAGATTTTGTTTTTGAATGAATTATTCTAAAGCATTTTGTCTCGTTATCTTGTAAAAGCGTGATGACTATGCTGCTACTGTGCATGTCACTGAATATGTTATATATATTCAGCTGGAGACACATGACAGCCTCAAGCTGATGACCTCCACTGTGCATGCTTAGGGTTAGGACCTGATCTAATTACAACTTCTGCCTGGCTACACATCAGGCTTCGACATTGTCATGCACCACCTTCCCTCTGGGAGCGAGAGGGCAGCTTTCTATTAAAAGACTTGAGAGGAAATGTCGTTTGATCATGAACCCACAGTGCAGTTTTTGTAGTGTTTTATAGCAATACTATCCACATCTGATCTCCTTTGATCTCTTTCAGGGCGGCAAAGGAGCAGAAAACTTCGACAAGTTTTTCACACGCACACAGCCCATGCTGACCCCTCCCGACCAGCTGGTCATCGCCAACATCGACCAGAGCGAGTTCGCAGGCTTCTCCTTTATTAACCCTCAGTTCATCCATCCATCGCTGCACAGCGTGGTATGAGGAGAGAGCGGAAAGACAACACGAAAGCATGGACTGTCGCTGACTACAGGATCCTTCCAAACTCTACAAAAACAATCCCGCCGTCAAAAGACTCTCATTATCCTCTACAGTGTTCTGTCTGCTGGTTATCAATATGTGTGAAGAAGTGACTGAGAGCGGAGCAAAGTGTTGAAGAAAAAGAGCACTGATATTTTCTTTCCCTTAACATCTCATATAATATGTTCTTAAATCAAATCTCTATCTGTGTTTATCCGAACCTGCAGCCTTTTATTCTTGTGTATGAATGTGTGTATACGAGTTACTCGGTTCCTTTCTTATGTTCCCCGTCTTAACTACGCAACAAGCTGCAATGCACGACAAGAACGGAACACATTTTTCTGCTCTGTCCCGGCTTTATCTACTTCTGAACCGCTACACGTGTATTTTATATTTATATACTTAAAAAAAAGAGGTATTAGCCTATACTGTTACATGAGTGCCAAAGGAAAGGTGGGAAGTAATCATTTCTATTGCAGTTCTTGAAGTCATCATGATGTTTTCCCCCTCCAGTCCCCACGCACTAAAACCCCTAAACAGGGCATGTTCCTTTTTGTTGTTTTGTACGACGTGGAGCTATAGCTATAACTTAACATAGATAACCAGGAACACATTCTGCTTATGCTTACAGTTGCAAGCTGTCTAGGCCTTTTTAATGCAGTTCAGTAGGGTCAGAAAACTGTGGATCAAAGAGACAATGTTTTAAAGTATAAAGATGCTATTTCTATATGCACAAAGCAGATCTCTGTTGCATGCTTACTTTTCTGACTCTGTGTGAGCAGTAGACTAGGATGCAGTACACGTCTGGTATCATTGTAAAGTTTAGTATTATGCTATAAACTATGTTAATATATACTTGTTGTATGTTTTAAAAAGTCTTATTCTGGTTTGTAATTGTTAATCAGAAACAAGGTTTTCTTCCCGTTTTATGTCAAGAGAAAAACCCCTCTATTCTATTGTATGTCAACCTTTTTTTTGTTTTGTAAATATGTTTCAAAAAGAGAAGTTACTTGCAGATTTTATACTACGAACTGAATGTGCTTTTACTACCATAGACAAGTTTGAACATTTCTATGTTTAGAGTACCCCTAAGAAGAGTATATCTATAATGTTTGGCTGAATCTTTGGTAGCTTCGGTATCAGCAAACCTTGTATTTCCACTATTTATCCATCGTTTTCTACTACTCAGTGTCATGGCGAATATGCAGCACCTACTGTGCGTGAAACAGTTGAATGCCCTCTTGCCTTGGTCGTCTCAGGGCCGACTCCTTCTGTAACAAATTTAAAACAGAGCAACGGTACGAGGATTTCAGAGCCCTCTGTGGCTGAAACATGTCTTCTCTAACTTGTATAAATTGTGTGCATGCGTGAGGCGAGATCTAAGCATGAGAAAGACCCCTGCATGGAGCATGGAGTTTCCCCACCTTGTTGCACAGAATAAGACAAACCAACAAGCATTGTGCTCTTCTCTTTTCCTCCCACCCAGTGTCATGAAGTCTGACAAAACAAGACTAATATGTGTAAATGCTTCTGTTGGCTTTTTGTTTACTGGTGCCAACCCTGAGTCCTTTTGTTCCCGGACATTTTTATTAGGCTAGGCACACAATGATACAAGTAATGTTTCATAAAACTGCCAAATTGACTCTTAACCCCTAAATTAGTTGCTGAACATGTAGACTGATGTCGCAGCTGTCACATCCGGACCGAAATGTAAGGTTAAGAGAAAACTGAATGTTTACATGTCTCACATTGAGAATCTTTATCGGAGCAGAGGAAAACACAAACAAACGTTGGACCCACGGCAGAGATAATCACACGTCAGGGTACAGTACCACTACAGTTAGAGCCACAGGGAACTTTCTATGTGTTTCCTTCCACTGCCCCTGCTTTTGTTAACCTGATTCTTTGTTCCTCTGTGTGTGGTATGATGGATACTGTGTATTAATAAAGTATGAAAAAGATGAACCTGCTCTGCCTAAATCGTTTCACTTCAGCTTCACTTCTGAAGTGTGGATTGATGTCTATATTATTGTTCTATAAAGATATTGAGGTTTTTAGTTAACATCCAATATTTGATATGTAATATTATTTCAGAGTAACAAGGTGTTATTGTTAATATTCTGGCAGTTATTTGTGAAAAAAATAATGTGTCAACAATTTAGTGTGCAAAATGTCATATTTGACCTGCTGGATAGAATAAATACAGAATAAGTACCGTCTGCAGAGTGCATTGGTGTTAAATTACCATGAGGTATTAAGAGACTACGCAGCCAATGTTTTTACTGAACTTAAATCATTTGTGAAATTAGCTAAATATTTTATGAAAATGCCACTGTGTTGTTTATATTATAAGGTTATGTAACTGTCTGTAGGTAAACAAAGGAATAGACATTGACTTTAAGAAATGTAAAAAAAGACAGCAAATTTTAGAAAATAAAATCAACATTTTATTCCAATCTTACAAATTATTGACTTCTTGTTTAAAACACACAAAATGGAAATATGTCGACTAACTTATTACTAGCTTATTGACTTAAAATAATGATAATGTACAGGTCATGACACACATTTACTTATGGTGCCAAAAATCAAGTAAATTAAGAAGTTTACATCATGACGGTCCCAAGTTATAAAAATACAAAATAAAAAGCTTTCTATACTGTATGTAACAATATGACTAAGTGTTGCTTATTGCCACATCAGTCATTATGAGTCTTGTTTGAGAGAATATTTCAATATTCACTCATTTTAAGCTCCGTTTTGGTCTTCACCAACTCCTGAGAGAAACATCCGGCTCTTTAGTTGTTCATGCTCCAGCTGGTCCTTTCATTTGTCCTTCTCCTTTGTACATCAGCTATTTATACCTTTTGTTTTGTGCTAAAGACCACTGCCTTTTGGGGCTGAAAATGGTGCCATAAAAGCAGTGGGTGAACAAACATTAAAACTTTACAATGAGAATTATTCTCTGTAGGCTCATAGCTAGAAGTGACCCGTTTTCAGAATGTTTACACAGTAAAAATTAAAAATACTAATGTAACCAAAACATTATGTTCACATGTAGTCACCTCTTTACTCTTAACATGCCACATACAGGTCAAAGTTGAAAATCACTTGGCAAAAATGTTTGATAACGCTGTTTATATATGCTAGTATGTCCTGAAAAAAAGGTAGTTCACCCCAAGATCACATTATTCATTTCAGAAATGCAGATTGTTTTGAGTTACAGTACAGTAGCTATTCAGAACAGAGGTGATATCAGAACTTCACCCCTCTCTAGTTTCATTTTTTGTATTAACTTTCCAAAGTTTCAACTTTTGTTCCTTCTAAATCATTTCACAGAACTGGGAAGTAGAACCGTTTCACAGTTACAGTCAAACTGACTAACACTACATCTGAACGCTGCATGAAAAATGTCACAATCAGTTTATAATGATAGACTTGAAAGTATACGCGAGCTCTATTAAAAAGAGATATAGTACTACTACTCAGATGACAGTAATAAAATACTTTAAAATAAAGAAATAAGCCCATTCAAACAACATGGAAGTAAATCTGAAGAAGCTGAACAAATGTCAAAAACACTTTTTCATTTACAAAATGGTATTCTGTTTTAAACAGCAACTTTTGGGTCAGTCCAGGATGGTTCCTCTGGTCACAAACTTCCAAGTAGGGCTGAAACTAACTATTCCTCATTGTTGATGAATCATGGTCTCGAAATGTCAGAAAATTGTTTAAAATGTTGCTCAGTGTTAACCAAAGCTCAAGATGACAATATAAGACATCTTGTTTTTACCAAAACTAAAAGATATTCAGTTTATTTAAAAAATACAAATATTTTCACATTTTAGAAGCTCAAATCAGGGAATATTCCATTTTTGATTATTTCATATTTGGTAACTAATCCCTGGCTTACATCCTGATTAAGGGATTTGTTTGTATTGTCCCGTGCTCGTTGGATGTCTTTAGCCTCATCCCAATACCCCTCCTCGACTCCTCTCTTCCCCTCCTCCGGGACTTGACCCAGAAATCGATCAAGACACGCCATTTTGAAGGACGTCCCAATAGCTGAAATGCACACAGAGGAGTCGAGAAGGGGTGAGGGAGGAGGGGTGCGGGAGGAGACGAAAGGGAGGATACACGCGGAAGTGTTTTCACTACTCGCGTATAAAAGCCCCGCCCCCACCTTCACAGCTGGAAAACCGACAACTGGAAGATGAGTGGAAAAGCGTCACATAAATGTATAAGTGCTCACAGCTCCGTGGGAATTATTATGCGCAATTCATTTCTAAAAGGCTTTCACATTACTATAATTATATTTTTATTTAAATGTAGGCTACATTTTACACCAAAACGGAACACAAAAGCAGGACCAACCATCATACATTGAATTCCTTGACTAACAAGAGAAAGATTCATTCATTTAAATAAATATTTAACAACAAATGGGCCGGTTCTAAGGGGTTATTCAGTTAAGCCCGATGAGAGGGGATACAGCTGTGCACATGTCATCATTAACAGACGTCGTTTAAAAGTGACGTTTGAGTGAACGAGGCCATCCCAATTAATACCTGAGGACTCCTCTGTCCTCGCGTCACCTCCTCGTGTCTCTCGCTCGCATCTTACGGAGGCGGAGCTAAGACGCAAGGAAGGGAAGCGAGTGAGGGAAAGGAGGAGTCGAGGAGGAGTATTGGGATGAGGTTTCTGTGTTTCGCCCCACCTCCTATTCTACCGACTCTTCCTCATCAGATGATGCATCACTTCCTTCTGAATGTTCGGTGAGGGTGGTCTCGAGCTTGGCATCCCTTTGTCTGACTGAACCTCTAGGGCGACCCCTCTTATGCGGGGTGCCAACATCACTTTTTGGAGTACCTGGAGGGCGGCCCATTTTTTTTGGGGTACCAACGTCACTTTTTTGAGTACCTGGGGGACGACCCCTTTTTTTTGGGGTGTCAACATCCCTGCTTGGTGAGGATGAAGAGGCGACTAAACTCTTGCGAGGCCTTCCAAGCTTCTTCTGTACTTTTGGCGCATTCAGCTCCTCAAGGGTGGACAAAGGGGATTTTCGTGGCCTTCCCATTTTGGCTAGAACTTTTTGGGGCGGGCTACTCTCAGGCTGGCCTTCCTCATCGGGCACCTTCTTTTTGAAACTGCCTTTCGGTCGACTCATTGCCTTCTTAACTGGCGGTTCCTGTTCATCTCCGCTCTCCTGTACGATACTTTTTCTCGGCCTCCCTCTTTTAGCCGTCTCTGGGGTTTCATTTGATGTGTTCTGTGTCGACCCCTCTGGTGTTACCACCTTCCTAGGTCGACCTTTCTTCCTTATTGGAGAGTATAGGCTTCCATCATCATCATCATCCTCCTCCTCCTCCTCTTCTTCCTCACTGCTCAACTCGGACCCCAGCGTCGGTCTCTTATTCTCTTCACTTGTTAAACATTCAAACTTGTGCTTCGTGGATCTTTTTGGACGACCTTTTGTTGGTATTTCAGAGTCTCCCTTCGGTGAGTCTTTGACATCAGCCGTCTCAGAATTCCTTGGCCTGCCTCTTTTCTTAGGAGATTGGTCTGTCGGACTCATAAGGCTGTCTTCATTACTGGCCGGTTCCTGGGAAACTTGAGTTTGAACAGAAATGTCAGCATGGACATCTCCCGATTCTTCCTGCTCTTTGTGCTTTGTGAGTTTTGGACACCCTCTTTCCCTAGGGGACTGAGTTATGCCATCACTTGCAATGCCTGAAACCAGCTTCATGATGTTAACATCGTCTGTAACACAAATCTTCAACTCATTGGAACCTTCTGGCATCCTCACTCCTATTTCAGTGGCACTGTTGTCAGACATGTGCACAGTGGAATCTTCCTCAATGCTCCACAAATCTCTTTGTTGTGTGGCAGCTGTCGATGTTTCCTCTTCACTGCTGTTGCTGTCAGCTTGGACTACTTCTGTAACTGCAAATTGGATATTGAAAAGCACAATTGGGGGTTATGGTTTGGTCAGGACTGATACAGATTATTAATAATAAAGGAGACCAAAAAACAATAGGAACAGATCATAATCTTACAAAATTTAGAATAAAACCAACTTCATCACACAACTTTGTTTAGAGGCATGTAATCATTTGTTAAAGGTGGAGTAGGTAATTTTGGAGAAACCAGCTCGAGTGCGCTAGAATTTGAAAATACACAGCCGGAAGAAATCTGCCACTTCCTTACAGAGCCCCTCCTCCAACACACACGAACGCATGTAGGCCATCCAGTTATTTTAGCCGGTCCGGCTAACATGATTGGTCGTGCTTTTTACAGTACCACAGCTTCCACAGATGACATTTTTTTATGGATTTTTTGTCAAAGCACTTAAGATATTCATTGCTATCGGGATGTTAAGAGCATTCCATGGAATATAACAAAAAGTGTATCTCGAGCCGGTTTCTCAAACTTACCTACCCCACCTTTAAATATAATTATGAAATATATTTTTAGATCATTTTCTATTGTATAATAGGAAGAATCAAAAGACGTCTCCTACCATGCTGACACTTTTCGCCTTCCTTACTCTGTGTTGAGTGCAACACACCCATTCTGCACTTTTAGACTTGACTGCATCCATTGAGAGGAGAGAGAGAGAACATGTAGTTAACATTTGGATAGATACAGGACTACAACATATTATGAAGGAATAAGAAACATCTGGAAGTAGAAAAATAAAACGATGCTAGATGAAACTTAAAGGAATACTTTAACTATAAAAAGACCATTTGTATATAAATTACTCTCCTTGAATTTTCGAAAGAAACTTCTGACATTCCTCCACGGTAAACTAGGAGGATGAAAAACAGAGAAAATTCTTGATGAATTTAAGTAAATGGGAAATCTACAAAGAGATACAAAACTGACACGCTAAGGAAACAAAACATCTCTCAAGACTTTTTTCAAATCTGTAAAAGAGAGGTTACTGGACAACCAAACTTGCCATCTGAGCATCAGCATATGAGGTTTTATCTTTGCTTAAGTATGTGCTTATGTCTGCTGTGTGTTAATAGGTTTTAAAGAAGGGCTTTTAAATGGGTACATGTGCTTTATATATGCTGCAAACGTTAGTTAATTGTGCTTAGTGTTTAAATCCTGCTAATGTTCTTTACCAGGGCTTATGTGCTGCCAAGTGTTTTCTCTATGTGTATTTGCTCATCTATGTTTTCTTTCAATGCAATCAACATGCCACGGACTACAGGTGAAAATAAGTCTCTATGGCTAAATCTGGCACATGTACATGTACCTTCTTAAATAAATAAAAACAAAACTGTGAGCCAAACGACTCGCACGAACTACCAAAATAAGTTACTAAGAGACTCGAATGACAACAAAACGACACAAAACAACAGCAAAGAGACGCTTAACTACAAATAAGTATAGAATCACTACACAAATGGGCCAAACGACCACAGACAACAGACACAAGACTACCACAATGAGACAATACCACAGAGAGATGCCCAACGACTTGAATGGGACACAAAAGGACAACAACGAGATGCTAAACAAGTGTAAACTGTGTAAGCCTTGCTTCTGTTTAATACAGGTGGAGGGGCCTTTTGCGTTTGTGTGCCCATGGCCCCATTGTCTCAGCATCCGCCCAAGCAAAGCGTAATAATTGTGTCCTATGGTTCCATTTTTTTAAACAACCGATCGCCATTAATCTGGAGCAGATGGCTTTCCAGGTTATCTTCAAAATCGATGGCGGAGTGACAAATATAAAATAAAAAATCAATAAACATACCTCACCTTAAAGAAATCCCCCGTGAGATTCAGGTTTCATTTAAAAGATTAACCAGATAGTCGTGACCTGCGACTAAAGACTTAATAGGAAATGTAATGCTTTTACGACCACCACTTCTGGTCGTCCGTGACGCTTAGGAGGCTCTGAAGGAAACTGAAGCGCTGCAGAGATTTGGTTCCGCTTCAGCATCCTTGTTCCGATTTTTCACATAATAGCAAGACAGGTATTAAAAAGCAAGAGATGCAACATTATAAAATAAACTTGCCAAATTGGACACTTCCTAGTAGGTACACATGAAATACAAACCACTACCTCAATAATAATAATAATAATAATAATACATGTTCAACACGAGTTCAACATATTTTTTTAGAACGAATAAATACATAAGGCATATAGCCTACCTTGTTTAGAATATATATTTGAGTTAAAAGCAAATACAAGAAATCCCATGTACAGTGATTATTTGTGCATCTTTTTTTGTAGTTTAATTTGCTCTTTTTACTGTACTCTTGGTGTACAGTTTACTTATTTGTATTGTTACTATTATTATGTTTAATGTACTGAATATTTTGTAATTCCGAACCAAGAATTTCCTTTGGGAAAAAAAAGTATTATGTTATCTTATGTCATCTTATGGCAGCCATAGCATTGTAGCCAATAAAGCTGCCATTACTGATCTATTGTTCAGTAAGTGTGTTTGCCATGCAGTTATGTATCTGTTTATACAAACACTTCCTATTTTTAAATCCTGACTAAAAACGCACCTATTTGCCGCTGCTTTTAATTGAGCTGCCCATACTCACACTACAGTATGCCTTTTAGTCATGTATTCTGTACCTGCTGTGTTTATTTATTTCATTTATTTCATTACCTTTGCTTATTATGCCTTTTGTAAATGCCTTTTTAATAATGTATTTATGCTGTATTTGTCCTTAAATGTCTTTTGCTTTTAATCTGTAAAGCACTTTGAATAGCTACGTGCTGAAAAGTGCTATATAAATAAAATTGCCTTGCCTTATATTGTTCTGCATTCGTGAACTTCCTGTAAGAGCTGTCCTTGGTCCTTAAACAATCAGGCATTACTCTCTCTTTCTCTCCTCTCGTCCTCTCGTCTCTGCTCTCCTCATCTCTCTCTCTTCAGTGCCTCTCTTCTCTCTCTCCTCCATCCTCTCTCTCCTCTCTTCCTCTCTCTCTCATCTCTCTCTCTCTCTCTCTCTCTCTGCCTCCCTCTTTCCCTCTACTCTCTCTCCCCCTCACCCCACACTTTCTCTCTCCCTCTCTCTCTATCTCTCTCTCTCCCCCACTCTTTCTCTATCTCCCACTCTCTCTCTCTGACTCAGTCTGTTCTGTGTGTTGAGCACTGACGCACTGCTGCATAGTCTCTTGCTTCTTAAAGCTTCTCTCGGCTGCACTTCTCTGAAGGAATTTGAGACCAATAAGTTGGAGTCGTTTTCTCACCACTGAACAAACAGAGAGTATTTCCCCGTAGTTTTACTACAAAACTTTCTGCACCTTTCCTTCACGTGCGTGACAGACCGCACCGAAACTGCAGACAGCCACGTAAGAACAAGTGTTTGCATGCTTTAGTCACATGATTTTATTTGTGTAACCTTTGCTGTTATATTTGATGGGTTTCACATATTCTCCGATAACTATGATGTTTGTTTTGAGTTCTTTTAATCTCAGTTGTTGCATGTGTGTCATGTACAATGTCCTGGTTACTACACTATACTAATGTAGTAATGTACTTTAGTAGTAGTATTTTATTGAGGCTCACCATAGTTTATTGCACTGTAGATCATGATATTATAGGGTTGACATTGACGTGTTGTCATTCACACTATGCTCAATCGTTTCAAAGACACTCTCAAGTCCCCCCTGAGGGGAAACACTGCATAGCTTATCATTGCAAGAAATGTGTCAAATGTATAACTGGTGTTGAAAATGATGCACCAATGTCAGTTAGGCTAGACTATTGACATTGGAGACATATGGGAATATATATATTAAATGAAAACTGCTGGAATTAATAGAAATAACCTGAAGCATATAACACTCTTTCATAATTTCATGGTAATATGACTAGTTGTGTGTCTGTATTCATTTGTATTTATCTAATAATGTATTGTGTGTGTTTTTTTATTTTTCGACCGTGTCCACATCCAACTTTCCCAACATTTCTGCCAGTAATTCTTCTTTTCCCTTTTCTCCTCCTCCAGATCGCTTTTTGATTGTAACCACCACAGCTGGAAGCTCCCTCACTGTCACCATGAGCTCGTGCAGCAGGAAAGCCCTGACTCTGCTGAGCAGTGTGTTTGCTATCAGTGGCCTGGGGCTGCTGGGAGTGGCGGTCAGCACCGACTACTGGTTGTACCTGGAGGAGGGCGTCATTCTGCCTCTGAACCAGAGCATTGTCATCAAGACCTCGCTGCACTCCGGCCTCTGGAGAGTCTGCTTCCTGGCCGGTGAGGGTTGGGTCTGGGGTGATGCACTGCCACGATTTAGGACAGGCTTTTGTCAGTGAACCTTGTTTTTAAATCAGTATTGTTCCTCAGACACATGTAATGGAGTTTAGTGTGGTAAGATCTTTGTTAAAGGAGGTCCATTCCTACTGCGCAGCTTTTAATTATGGCAGAGGCAGAGACAAAATCCTGTCACACTCACATATCATCACTGCATCAGGCAGCTTTGACATTCACACAGAATGACATTCACAATGACTTCATCAGCGTGAGCATTCATGCAGGGTGTGTGTGTGTGTGTGTGTGTGTGTGTGTGTGTGTGGTGTGTGTGTGTGTGTGTGTGTGTGTGTGTGTGTGTGTGTGTGTGTGTGTGTGTGTGTGTGTGTGTGTGTGTGTGTGTGTGTGTGTGTGTGTGTGTGTGTGTGTGTGTGTGTGTGTGTGTGTGAAACAAGGTGCGTTCAATTTAAATTAAATTAAATTAAACACACACACACACACACACACACACACACACACACACACACACACACTTACACCTTTAAGTCTTCAGAGAATGATCTCATCTCATCGTGCCACAGATAACTCCGGCTGGAGTTTGTATGTGACAACGATGAAGTGATAATAATGACTGTGTAGCTGTCTTGGCAGAATGTGATGTAATGTTTATGTAAAGAAATATTTTCTTAGGAAAACTTTAAGTTTTGAACTAGGAGAGATCCTCCTGAATATGTCCATTTAAAATACAAGAAAACAATCAAGGTTGATTTATAGGGGATTATGATGCCTTTATATGCAGGCTATGATACATGTACAGGACATATGAGTCGGATTAAACATATCCTCTAAGAAGAGAGGAAGTAAATAAGTGTTGTTTCAAAATAGTTAAACATTCCTTGCATCAGCAGCTGGGGTCTTCTTGGTCCTGTCTGCCTGTTTTTGTCCTTTTTTTTGTTTCCCAGTTTCTCTCCTCCTTTCTTTCTCACCTCAATTTTGTCTATATGTTTTTGTCTTAGGTGAGGAATCTGGTCGCTGCTTCACCATCACCTACATCATGCCCATGAATGTCCAGTTGACATCAGAGTCCACAGGAAGCGTGCTCAGTAAGTTACTCTCGCCTAAATAACTCAAGGTGCCCCCCTGAGATTGTACACATAAACAGCATTTGGCCTTTTCATAAGAAAAAAGTGTTGTTTTCTAATACGGCTTGTGAGTCACCTGAACCCTGTAGCCTCGTCCCTCTCCAGAATACCTATTGCCTTTTTTTTATTTTACAGACAATTCATCTCAGATGTCCTTCAGTGAGGCTCAGTGTCGAAGCTTTACCTCAGGAATAATCCACTTTAAATCAGTGTAATCTCTGATAATGATTACGTTTCTTTTCTAAATATTTCAAGATTGTCTGTTCCCCCTTCCTCCAAAGAGACCACTTTTCTATCCAACCTGACGAATGAGGAATTTAAAAAATCTGCTTTATAATGAAGATAAATCAACAAAACATTCCCAAAGTTCCTCTCCTCTTCAACCCCCATCTGTTGCATGTTTTGGTTTTCCTCCTCTCCTTAGAGATGATTCGCTCGGCCACTCCGTTCCCTCTGGTCAGCCTCTTCTTCATGTTCATCGGCTTCGTCATCAACAACATCGGCCACATCCGGCCTCACCGCACCATCCTGGCGTTTGTCTCTGGGATCTTCTTCATCCTCTCAGGTATTCAGATCTTCTCTCTATTTCTTGTCACATTTCTGCACTCTCTTCTTTGTGTTTTTGTCCAACACTACATGTTAATGTATCAATCTGTCAGGTCTGGCTCTGGTGGTGGGTCTGGTGCTCTACATCTCCAATATAAATGATGAAATGCTGAACAGTATTAGGAGCAGTGAGGCCTATTTTATCTACAAGTACGGCTGGTCCTTTGCCTTCGCTGCCATCTCTTTTCTGCTGACTAAGGTGAGTGACACATTGACATGTTCAGCTGTTGGCTATCGTAGTGATCAAAGCACAACATACAATATTTGAACCCAGTGAACACCATATGAAACTAAGAGCCTCTTACATCAGTGTACACACATACACCAAAACATTACAAATATACTATACCCTTTCAATGCACTGCTGATCATTTTCCTTGACTTTGTTGTTGCAATAACCCACCCTCCCTCCTTCAATGTCCACATTTCTATGAGCCTCGTAAAGACATGTGTCTTTGAAGTGCTGTTGTATTTATTACATTTGACATATACCTTCTAAAAGTGGCCACCACCTTCTTAAGTCGTGATGGTTTACTGCCCTACAGTGGTCAAAGATGGGAACTGCAACACAAAATAATGGCTAACAAACATTATGGTTGATATTACTATCAATAATTACCACTAATTTGATATAAGATAAAGAAATAACAATGTTTAGGGTGATCATCCAACTGAATCATTCAAAAACAAATTCAGAAACAATCAGTTTAAGGTGCAGACAGCAATTTGTATCCCCATTTTTGTATTTGTTTTAATTCAGCAGTTATCGTCTCACAGTTCTTCAGCTATCTATTCTTAGAAAATGTATAAAGAGAAAGAACAACATTTTGGTGCTGTGGGGACTTGCAAACTGAATTGTTTCAACATGAAGGCACTTCTGAGCAATTGTTTCCTATAGTTTGATTTGTTTCCTTGTTTCAATCTAATGTGTCCCTCTACCCCCTGCAGAGTGCAGGCGTCATGTCCGTCTACCTGTTCATGAAGCGCTACTCAGCAGAGGAGCTCTACCAGCCTCGTCACCCCGGTTTCTACCGCCCCCGTCTCAGCAACTGCTCCGACCACTCTGGCCAGTTCCTCCACCCGGAGGCCTGGTCCCGCGGGCGAAGTCCCTCCGACATCTCGAGTGACACTTCGCTCCAGATGAGCGCCAGCTACCCGGCTCTCCTCAAATGCCCTAACTACGACCATGTCTTGTCCTCACCCTGCTGAGGGGTCACTCACCACAGCAGAGGCACACATAAGTTACTGAAAGGTCGCTAAAGAATCACGAGAGGTCACAAGGCTTATTCAGTTTTCTCTCCTGAAAAGATACAACTTGTAGCAGCTATAACTGTGACTTAAAGTGGACCTATCATGCTATATTTTATAATATATTGTAGGGCCATACCTATATAAAACATGTCCCTGTTTTTGCAAGGGCTGATTCTGTGGCAAATGAGCTGCAGCTGACCACGCCCCCCTGCAAAGGAGGGGGCGAGGCACGAGCGTCATGTTACCATGCTGTTACCATGCTGTTACCATGCTGTTACCATGCTGTTACCATGCTGTTACCATGCCATGGCAACCTCTCATTCCCCTGATTGGTGGAGAGTTGCCCATATAGGCGGAGCTCTCTGTTTCTGACGTCAGAACAATTTCAAATCTGTAATTTCTGCAGCCCCGTTTTTAGAGATTTGGTATGGAGGAAAAGAGAGAGGCTTGTGTTTTCTGACACTTGGTGAGTTCCCTGGAACACCGGAGACACATATTCATGTATAAAAGACGTACAAAAGTGCATTTTGCATGATAGGTCCCCTTTAATAACTGTGGAAAATGTTCCATCTGAACCCCCTTGTGGTTAAAGGTGCAGAGATGATAGTTGCATCTACATTCTTTCTAGGTGGAAGGAAAGTCTGAAGCGTTTGGACAAGAAAACAACTCATGTTACTCTTTCTCAGTAGACTACCTTTGAACTTTATTTGAGGGGAAACAACACTACATCTCTTGGTTCAATTGTATTGTATGTAAATGTGTTTAACTCTCCAGTGCCTCATTCTTGAGCTGTTTCTATGTTGTTAATAATGCTTTAGGACTTATATGGCCTGTGAAAAAATAGACCCTGTTCTGTCCAAAAGCATCGCACCTACTGAAATGTCTTTGGGTTTGATTGTTGCTCTTTATTTTATCTGGAAACACTGTTTATATTGGCATCATAACAGTAGGACCTAATGAAAATGTACATACATGAACACTGAAACTGCTCAGATCATTAAGATTTGTTTTATATATATATTTTTACATATTGTGTGCAACTGTTTAACATTATATCAATAAATGTTAAGAGTTGATGTTAAGATAATGCTGAATATTAAGCATTATTTTTGTGTAAATGTAGCAGCACTTCTCTTTACTATATTAATGTTTTGTACAGTGTGCAGGAGAAATCATCTGTAAAAGTCATTTCTTCACATAGCGATTCCACATTTATCCACTGGGGGGCAGTGCTTTTGTCTTTTTTTGAGTGACAAAGTTTTGAAGATCAGTTGCTTTACAATTGTTTTTGGTATAGGTCGAAATCGAATACAAATCTAATTTCCCATTCTTATTACCTTTATTCTGTCACATGTTTTCAAAAGTGCTTGTTACTTTGTTGACCCAGTGATGGTTGTGGGCAAAATTGATTCTAGTGGTTATTTCTAGTACACCTATAATCTCAGATGTGGTCATGAAACCCTCATTGTATAAATCCTATGTATGAATGTATTATGTCATCTGTCACAACCTTAAATATAAATGCTTTGTACATTTCAGTAATCTCAACTATGAACTCATTTTGTTCAACTCACTGACTGTTGAACTATGTGTTGAAACTGGCATTTGTTTTGACTTTGAGAAGATTGGAGTTATCTCTGTTTTCCTATTTTGCTATTGTATATTAATTTAGCTATTTACTAAGGATATTATTTAATTAATCTAATTACTAATTTCCAACTGATGGAAATGTGTAATGTAAAAAAAACGTGATCTCATAGTTCAGTTTGAGTTAGAGCTGTCATATTCATCTAATTACAACCCTTTTTATTTCCATGAGGGGAATGTCATATTTAAACACCTCAACATAAACTTTCCAACAATACAAATTCCCATCATGAACATAGCTCTCATGGCAGCGTTGTTGTATTGGATTGCATAAGATTGAACATTATGTACAAAATAATAAGCACAGTGTATTTTCATTGTCATCTGAGTGCAATTATTAAGTAATTTAGAAACATTTAATTGTGAAAGGCTGCCTTTGCTAGTATTGACCCCAAACCCCATCACAGCCCTTACTGTAATCCTTCATAATCATTAAAGTGATGTTTTATTCACGTTATCGTTATTGACCATTGTGAAATACACAAAGACACAGTAGAGGGCGCTCTCTCTTCAGTCATTCTCAATCTTCTCTCCCACTCAGATGTCAACATGTTTTCTTTACTTCATGTTCTTCCAGGTTGAATCTCACACTTCTGCTCTGCATGATGGAGATGCTTTACATTCAGAGAGCTTGTCAACTCGTGAGAACTATCTGTATAATTCATTAATGATAGCTCATTACTTATGCAAATAAGTAGGTCAAGAAAAGAAAAGCATTAATAATAAATAATACACCATACAACTGCTGTAAGCTTTATATATACTTTATATAGATACACGTAATGTATAACGTGACCGATAGCTTTTACAGAGGATATAAAAGTTAATATAAGTTAATTATAAGAAGATAATATTCTGCCCTGACCGCAAGGCTTTCATTTTATTTTACAATCACATAGAAAACTACTGTTGTTTATAGTTTTGACATCATCATCATCGTCATCTTAACTGATATTACTTCACTATAATCATCATCATCAAACATCAAAACATCATTTTCACTATAATCTTTATCAACATCATAAATACAACCCTCTTCCTCACTCATCAGTCATGGCTTTTTTAAAGAGCATCGTCACAGTTATTTACCAACATTGTCAGTTTTATCCTCCTCATCCTCATATGTTTTCTTATGATTGGGTTTAAGGCTTTTGTAAAGAAGACCCCAAACTTCAGCTGATGCAAAACGTGTGCCTGAAGGCTCGAACATGTTACACAGAGTGTGCATACTACAACAAAGAGACCAGAAAACCTATACATTATATATACACATACATAACTTAATTATTTATATACCTGTAAAGAGGAACACAAAAGCAAGCAAGGAATTAATAGGATTACAAACCAAATGCAAATAGGATCACAACAATACGACCTTCACTGACAGGCCAAACACAAGAGAGGAACAAAAGCTTAATCGGACTGGTACCCTTCTGGGCCATTGCACAGCCATAAATAAAACCTACCCAGTCGACTTGTAAAAGTTCAAATCCTTAAGATCATATTGGTCTTTTTCTCTGGTCAGCATTGAGTCTGCAATAGCCAATCTGAATGTCAGTTTTCATTGGTGCTGGTGGAGACCGCCTTGCAGCCTTTACATACAATTTAGTTACAAATTCTGACAAAATGACTTCTAATAGTCTGTTAGCTGCACCTTTAAACCCCACTTGATGTCACTAACATTAATGATGGTTGGGATTTCAAATGGACCAGGAATACAATCTTAAGGATTACACATTTACTCCCAAAGAGCAAGGTTTAATCTCAAGCATCGGCAAAAGCTCCTTTTCTACTCAACTAAAATAAAAGTATGCACTTTTCAAAATTCTCTGCTCCATGTAAATAAAAATAAAAGATCAGCCCAGCTGACTCAAGACTGTAATGCGGTGTTAGGAACCTAAATGTAAGCCACCGCTGTTTTCTGAGGTTACTCCCAGCAGGGCTTCAGCCATGGCACCGGGAGAGAAGAATCCAGAGTGAGATGACATGGTCCGGGTGAGGTTACGCTGCAATGATCCACCCACCACCTCCCACATGTTTACATCTGTCTCCTATTTCCACCCTTTATAGTCAAAACGTCTCTATTCATCCTCACATTCCATTCCCTGTGTAGCTGACCATGCATCTGAACTCTAATTTTGAATGACAACAACTTTCTCATAAAGCACAGTGGAGGTAACGCATCACTTACATAATGTAGACTCTGCGTGCATTGATATACACACACACACACACACACACACACACACACACACACACACACACACACACACACACACACACACACACACACACCACACACACACACACACACACACACACACACACACACACACACACCACACACACACACACACACACACACACACACACACACACACACACACACACACACACACACACACACACACACACACGCACACATAATATTAGTCCACATGCATGCATGTGCACCTGAAACATGGCAGTTGTGCTTTAGAGAGACCTACAACATGTGATGGCCATGAGAGGGGGAGGTAGGGGGGTGTGTATGAGATGGAGGAGAAACAAACTGGCTGTTGGTTGTTCATGTGTTGCTCCAGGCAAGAGTCCACACATTTGAGTTTCCTGAAACTCTGCTGTCCCCTCAGCAGTGGGGTGTCTCCCCAGCAGTGCACACCGTCCAGGGGAGAAACTGAGGTTCATATCCAGGGTCTTTTTTTGTGTGAACCAGCTTTTCAGCGTGTGTAGTTTATGTGTGGGAGAGAAAGATGGAGGAGCTGGAGGTTGAGAAGATTGTCCCTCTTCACTTCTTGTTGGCGATGCGTCTCTTCCTGGTGGCCAGCATGTCGTAGAAAGGGTCTTTGCTGATGCTGGCCCTGGAGAAGAAGCCAATCAAAGGACAGTGATGAAATAAATAATAAGGCCACATGAGAGAAGGGACTCGAGCATCTTTGATATGGAAATGTAGGCACATTTATACAAACCCCTGCCTAAACTAGATCAAAAAAATAAAAGTTTGTGCAGTGACCTAGTTTGGTTTCCATGGTTTCTGAAGAGGAACACCCCCCTCCCAAGTTTTTTCTTGGTACTCCGATCAGCTGGAACATCCTCCAGAACTCATAATAAAAACACAAACACTCCTCCCGCTATTCTGCAGGTCTGAATTAGGGCTCAAGATTATTGGCTCTTCAGCATTCTCCCGCTTTTTAAGATGGAAAGCCAGCGCACAATGAGAGCAAGTGCGTCAGGAAGCCATTTGGGCTCTTCTGAGGAGCCCAGTTTCACGGCTGCTCAATCCTGTTAGCACCAGCACAGAGCAAGAAAAGGCTCAACCCCCCATTGCGGATATCTCAGATTCTCTTTACAACGCCACGCGCAGAAGAATGAGTTTGTGATTACTATCCCGCTCTTTCGTAATGCTCATTGTCCATTTGCAGAACCCAATTTCATGAAACAAAAACTCCTCTGTGGAGTAAGGCTGCTGTGACTAATTCCAAACAACATTCCCTCTATTTCTGTCTTTACAAATATGTAATATATCTAATGGAATGGGACAGAATACTTTTCTTTATGAGTCCACTGTTTCCATCGGTCCACCATAATCTGTGTGTTTGTGACTCAAGCATGCCGATACACCTCTGTGATCATCTCCACTTAGGGGTAAAGCATCATTTCCATATAACGCCTTTTATCTCCCAAGATCCTTTTGGACCCCTGTGGAGAAGCACAAGCTGCAACTCGTTATCCTCGGAGGATGCCAGTGCGTCAGCCCAGTTTGGATCTTCCTCTCCTGGATACATTTACTGGGTTTGCTGGCTCACCCCTGGGCTGCTATAAGCAGTGACTAATCCCACAACGTTTCCCCAGCGAATACTCACTGAGAGTATGGAGGAGGGGGGATTGCACTATATTACAGTATACAAGTGTTCTGTTCTGCTGAGCCAACTCTCTTTGACATTGCACCATCTTTATGCAGGCGATTACAGAGCAGCATTTAGGTCACCCACAGCAAGGTTAATATTCCTGAGAGCCGCAGTATGTATGGTATCTGACAGGAGGAAACATACCTTTACTGTTTCAATCAAAAGCTTTTAATGACATGTTCAGTATATAAGTCAGTGTATTGTCTGGATCCTTTTAGTCCAGATTTGATTTTGGGATGCTCAGGTGGTGAACATGTTTTTTTTTACTTGAGCTTTTGAGAAAGGTTTATTTCTATAGTTAATATTTGTATAAAAAAGAAAAACATATTAATGTCAAACATTTGCTTTAAGTGTGCTTGTGCGAGTCTTACTTGATGGATTTAATCCACTCCTCTTTCTCTTCTGGCGTGGGCGCTGATATCCTGTACACCACGTGGTTTCCCTCGACGACACGCCCATCTGCCTCCGTCTTGCAGGCTTTGATCACCTGGCCCTTGTGGTTAGGTTTATAGAGCTCGAAACAGTTCTGGAGAGCGGACAAAGAGAAGGGCTTTGATTATGTAATACTGTTAGAGTTGACAGCACACTGACCAATGGCTGTACTTTAGACATCCAATGAACACTATAACAGAGGAGAATAGACTCTTGACATATGATCTACAGGTGAGCTCTTTAAAGAGGCAACACTCACAGGTTTCCTGGGCTCCTCCACCTCCCTGATGCTCAGATTCTCCAGCGGGATAATCCCACGAGGCTCTTTGTCCTAAAGGAGAAACGTGGAAGAAGAAAAACAACCAAGTAAATACAAAAAGAGAGTTTAATAAACGACAGAAAAAAGCAAGCAATCAAGAAAGAATATCAGAAAGGTGGCATGGATGAAAAAATAAGGAATCTGACTAACAAAAGGAAAGATGAAAATAGAGCAGTGGAAAAAGGATAAAATCATATGTGACATGTTTTGCCAGCATGGAAATCAACCTTGCCCCCCCCCTCATCCTCCTCTTATCCTTGCTGCTCTTTAACGGAGCAGATAATGTTTGTGTGGAGCAGTCAGACCAGAGGACGGGACATAATGATAGTGTCCTGCAGGATAATACCAGGGTAGAGAGAGGACAGTGCTGATGTAGCAGCTAGCGGGGACACACAGGCAATGATAAAGGGCTTCAACGAGGCACATTTACACTTATTCTTACAAAGTGACACGGATAGACAAATACCAACTCACAAGGGGACACTATAAAGACAAAAATGCAAATGAAAACACACAGAGGGCTGATCCAAGTACTTTTTGGGGGTAATTTTCCACATGTACTGGGGCATTATTAACGTCAACTGACTAACATCAAAGCATTGCTAAACAGGCTATCGGCAGGTTAAATCCCCTTGTTTTACACAATATGTATTACAATACAAGTGTTTGTTATGGCATCCCGAAATTCAGAATCGTCCCCCCCATCTGGATTTGGAAACCCCACAATATTCATTACATTTATCTTCTTCAAGTCATCATCTTTAGAGACCCAGAGAGGCTCTTCACAGATCAAAACATAATCATGCAACACTCACAGTTGTGTATTCAAAGTAGTAGAGGCAGTTGTCAGTCAGGATGAACCACCTTCGCTTCCAGGTTTTCACTCGGCCCCCTGACAGGAAGAGGAAGAGGAGACAGGAAGTCACACAAATGCCACAGTGACAGACTGGCTGTCTCCCATCAGGAAAAAGAGCCGGGATTTGACACGCAGTAACGAAGCCCACCACCATCCACTCGGTTATTTTGTATGCATTATATAGATCTTATGAATTATTACTTTATGTCTTTTTTTTTCTAGCACAGACCGCCTGCCCTGTTATAAACCATGAAAAAGACCAAACAAAGCACTTTAAATAACTGCTTCAACATGTTTGTTCATTAGCTCACTGCTATAATTGAATTTCCTGTGTAAGAAAGGCTGCTCCACATCAACCACATGATCCTGTCATGTGGCGATTAGACACACATTAATACTTAAATGTGATTAATGCCCAGGACACGCCATTGAAGCTTGAAGTTTCAACAGTTTATGTATCTATGCATACGACCAAACCTTCACATAAAGGAGGGTTTCATACTATCAAACAGTTTAATATTGTGTGCTGCTTTTTTGATTTTATGATTAGGTTGGATGTGCAAATGTCAACGTGCAATAAAGAGAGGGTCACTTTCCAAAGTATACAGGCAAGACAGTTTAGAGAGAATGTAATAGTAGGTGACTACAATCAACCATCACTATCTCTTCTAACTTGCAGCTTTGTTAAATGATGACTCACGCAACTGATACATTATTGCTGACTTTGCTTATTCATTTTTAAAAGCAACAGGATGAAAGCCCATTGGCTGTAAGGAGCGGTGAGCAAACAGCACTTGATATGAACCTAATGCGGCACCTAAAGCACCCCTGAAGGAGCACACATGTAGACATATAAGCCCAAAAACACACACACGACACCCCAGAGCAACGTGTTGGTTTCTGCAAACTACATACAAAAAAAAGCAAAGACTGAGAGCGATCGCTAATGTCCAACAAGTTGGTTTGAAGCGGGATTCAGCCTCTGGCAGTGACTGCAGCGTTAGAGGAAAACAGAATTTGCTGACACTGAGGAAGCTTTCCTGGTGGGAGATACATGTATGATGTGTGTGTGCATGTGAGCTGTGAGAAATACAATCTAATGCTAAGTTTACAAACTTGAATCAAAACATGCCACAAGCACTTTCTGATAATTTCCTGTGAGCATGCTTTGACCTAACATTCCTGATTAGTTATTCTCAATACTAACCACCCCTTACGGTCACAACACTTTTCACTGCAGCATTTCCTTCCTGTTTTCGTGCCTCCTCACATGAGCCTATGGGCCACACATAATTACAAAGCCGGGTTTCCTAACATTTCAATAGACTCTGGGTATTGAATAAGCGTGGCCAAATTTCCGCTCAGTGTACAGAGATTTGCTAAAAAAAAAAACCTGCATTTAGTCCTTCACATCCTCAAGGGTTTATTTTTAGCGAGTTAAATTATAAATATTATAGCGAGAACTGGTGCGGGAAATGGCTCCAGGGAGGAATTGTACTAGAATGTAATCATGTTAGGCCTGTGAGCCACAATGGGGCTATTTGCATTCGTACTCACTGGTATGATGAGACTAAAGAGACGCTACACAGAGTGAGAGGAATGTGCAGATCGGAGCCAGGTGTGTGTGTGTGTGTGTGTGTGTGTGTGTGTGTGTGTGTGTGTGTGTGTGTGTGTGTGTGTGTGTGTGTGTGTGTGTGTGTGTGTGTGTGTGTGTGTGTGTGTGTGTGTGTGTGTGTGTGTGAATATAGTAATAAAACTGATCACCTGCAGTGCGTTTGCACTTTAACCTTTAACGAAATGTATCCTGGCTGTTAAACAGTTTTATGTTCACAATATATCAATCTCTAACAACGATTAAAAGTGTTAAATTAATCTCTTTTATGTGGTGTGAGAGCAGAGCGAGGGAGCGAGGTCCAAATCAAAAACATGTGTTAACAAACTGGAAAAAATGGCCAAAAAAAACTATTACCTCATTAGGAAAGCATGCAACCACATCTTAATTACTGGCACATATAGAAAGCAAATAGCTAAAGCATGTGTTCCTTCCCAAAGTACATTAGGATAATGTCGATGTGCACGCAATCAAATCATGCCTGTAGCTTTTTGTCCACACATACTGTCAAATGTTTTGCGGTGAGATACGCACAACTTATACATGAATATCCTAGTGTGAGGTGGTGTAGGGCAAGTGAAAAGCATGTAACCTTGTTTTACTGATGTTCAGGCTACAGTTTCTCATAGATAAATCTTCTTTAATCAACACCAACTGGTCAAGGCAATAAACAACCCAGAGTCACTCTCTGTAGGTTCCCACCAGACTCTACTCTGTGCACTCTGTTACTGTAACACTCATAACTGCACAACAAAGCAGATAAGAACTAATGTAACTTTGAATACAAGGGACAAGAATGCAAATCTTTAAGGTTAACATAAAAAAACTAATGCACACGGAGAGCAATAAGGGCAGTGGAAAATAATGCATGTAATTTCCCCGGTTCATTTCGATCACCTCCAAAGTTTATTTGGTTCTTATCGCCTCAGGCTAAGCCTTTCCATCACATGTCTTAGAAATCGGGCAAGTAGCTTTCTTTAATCCTACTGTCTGACAAACAAAGCAACAAAGCAAAAAGATAACCTCCTGCTTATAATAAAACAAAAACCATAACAACAGCAACTGCTTGAGTGACAATATATATTTTATTTATATTTAAATAAGTTCTGGAACTTAGTATAGCAGAAACACGGCAACTTAAAACATCATTGAATGTGTGCATAAGTGTGTATCCGACTTCATATGGGTTCATAAATAAAAATACTGTACACCCAATGAGTTTTATGCATCTAGACTTAAAAAATAAAGTTTAGTACGATCTTGCAACAATTGTTTTGAAGTGTATGAATTGTATCTTTCTCTTCAACACAAAATGTTATGATCTGTTTTATTTCACTGCATTTAAAACAGGATACATCACGTTAGAGAGCATGAGTGATATTTACCTCACCCTGTTGTGAGAAAAGAGTCACAGTTGTAATGAGGATAAGTGGGAGAGTAACAAAATAAAGTCATCCAGGATGTCTTTCACTCAGCAGGGGGAATGTGCAGAGACACAAACACACACACATACATAAGCACTAACCTAATTTAAGCAGCCAGCCCTCTCTGTCTGGGTTGAAGAATGTGTGCGTCAGGTCATTCCCATCATCCTCTGGGATCTTAAAGGGTTCGCTCTTGATGCTGTCGAATAGATTCTGGACAGACAACAACAAAAACAAAAACAAGGTGCATTAAAGTTCACATTTACACTCCCAGACTTCCTCTAACTCAAAACATTCAACCTATTCCTTAGATGAATGACTCTGGGAGCTTTAACAAAGTGTATTTTTCTACTTATAACAAACCAAGGGCACTTTGGTAAAGACATCAGCGTACACTATGTGTGGATGGATGAACTTGCTTGTATGCTCTTTTTCTTTGAGAGATCACAAAAGATTATTTGCATCAGTATCGGGGGAGAATATGCAATTCTGCTGAGCTGCAACATCTCAATGAGTGAAGCGTGACTCTCTGCTTTGCAAAGAGAGAAATTCCTATAGGTTTATTTAACCATGCGGGCTACATTGGATACATTTGTCATAGCTAACAGACTAATAAAGTCAAAGCTCTTACCCTGAGTAGGTCCTCTGGGAGGTCTCCCCCCTCATTGATCCCTCTGTTCATGGAGATGAAGCGCTCCACGGGGGGCTTGTCTCTGACGTTGGGATTGTGCAGGCTTGTGTTCAGCATAATGATGGCAAATGATAGGACATAGCAGGTGTCTGTGGAGGTAATTATACAGTATGTGTCATTGGGAAATATACAATACAATGCAACCCTACATCTGTGTGTGTGTGTGTGTGTGTGTGTGTGTGTGTGCGTGCGTGCGTGCGTGCGTGCGTGCGTGCGTGCGTGCGTGCGTGCGTGCGTGCAAAATCCTGTGTGAATAGGATTTCTCTTCTGTTTAAACTAGTGATCTTTTGTCACTAGGTCTATCTTAAATACGTGAGCTCTACAGTGGAAGGTATTTACCTTGTTTATTATAATGGTATTGAAATTATGGCAGAAATGATTTGTGATTTATTAGACAGAAATCCATCAAAAGATTTCTTACCACAAGTTAGGACTCTGCCTAATAAAAAGGAGAGTTTAATCAACAAAGAGCCCCCTATTGGAGCCCACCAAGGCATTTGGAGGTCTCTGCAGTCATGAACACACACCCAGACAAACACACACAAATTCTTGTGGGTCCACATCATAACTCATGCTAACCATCGTCAATCCCATCCACACACTAACCGCCCCAGTAAGCATCACTGCTCTGTAATTTATGACCCTGAGCCATCGGTCCTGAGAGATGACCAATAACTAAGTCAGGGTGTGTCACCACTGCACCACATTAATATTCATGACCTGAGCTGTCACCCACGTCCTCTTCAAGGCTCCCCGCGGACGGTATACACAGGAGCAGCAGACTTTGTGCGAAGGGCCGAGACGCCACTAATGACCAAATTGACCAGTGATCGATTTCATTATCACTGCAGGAGCCACGGATAGTGATCACACTGCGATTACTGAGGAAGCTGCTAACTATGCTGCAGAACAAAGAAGTTTACGACTGTCTACTGTAGTTATGATTCTCTGAATGCAGATACCTATGAAGTCAGAAGGTGTTCATATTCTGCAGTGTTTAAAGAAGAGTTTCTAGGGTTATGGACACATGCTAAAGATGTACGAAGCTTGAACAGGTCCAGATGTCTAGGTAAGACAGACAGTCAGAAACATTGATCTGAGGCTGAGGTGGTCTAGCTGGCCCATATTATTTGTTCTGGACTGTCTACAGTAGCTGAGTCTGACTGATGTGTCTGCTGCAGTGTGTGTGTATGAGAGTGTGTGTGAGTGCCTGGTACCTGTGGACTGGAAGACGCCAGGATTACATTGGCAGTATCTGGATGCAAACGCCTCCATCATACGATCAATCTTCTGGGCTTCGCCAGGAAGTCTGAAGCTCCACAGAAACTGCCTACAACGGCAGAGACAGAGAGGGATAATGGAGTTACAGATCATAATAAAATATGATGAAAATCATATTTAACAATATGTGGATATTCAATGAAAATTAAAAAATCCCACTGAACAGTAAGCTGACTTTCTTTACATTGACTTTAGAAAGAGAGTGTTTGTGTTTAAAAAGGTTTTTAACATTAAACTGAATGATTTGGCTACAACATAAAAAGCCTTTTTTTACTGACTGTTAAACAGGAAGTTGTACTTTCCAAAACAATGTTATGGAAAGTACTGCCTGGTTCATTTCATATCAAAGTTAATGTTAAGTCACACATGTAAAAAGCATTTAAATCAACATCCGATTCATAGTCTATGAATACTCAAATAAACATAGAAAGCTCACATCGGCCATAGTCCATCAACTGGACAATTGGTAATGTGCTAATTAAAACAAAATGTAACAAAACAATTCCTGAAATCATAAACATTGCGAGAAACCAATGCCATCATACCCTTCATTTAAAATGAGACCACTGTATTGATGCAGTGGGAATGCCAATGCAAAGACTAATAATATCTGCAAAGAAGTTGTCATAAATCCCCTTCTCAGTTAGATTATTTGACTATGCAGATTATTGAACATAAAACTCAAACAGGACTTCCTGGATCACATTTCATTTTCTCTCCTGCAGCTTTAGGAAGACACCCGCACCTACATTTCCTCTAACACATTTCTCCATTTGGTCAATAACTCACCGTAAGGCTTGTACGAGGTTGAGGTCTGCAAACTCATGAAGCTCCACAAACGCCTGGAGGACCTTGAGGTTAAAGTCATCCCTGGAGGGTCACACATGTTTAACCATTTACACTCTTTCCATTCAAACAGACACAGAAAAAACAGACACTGCACGATAAATACGGGATTCATTTCAGAAATGAAGTTCAGTGATTTCATAGGTTTTGGGGATTAAGGTAGAAAGTAAATGCTGCCATGTCACAGCACCAGTGTCAGACAGAAAGTCCCTGTGTTTGCAGGCTGCATGAAATCCCAGTTGTTTATCCCCATTGATTCCCCTTCGATAAGAACCACATGTCAGCTTAGTTATTTTACTGGCACCATCTCCCGCCGCTGCTCCGCTCCATAAATCCAGACCACCAATTTCCTGGAGCTTTATGCCCCGGTCTAAGCACATGCAGGGCAGATCTGACAGAGAGAGGGAAAACATTGACAAAAACTGGAGAGCTCACCGTTCCCCTAAGTAGTCCCCGATGACTGTTTTGTTGAGCCCCTCGCCTTTGTAGAGGAACTGAGAGACGTCCTCTGGGGTGTGCTGGAGAAGATCGTTCTCCAGAAGAAACTGGATCCCCTGTTTTAAAAAAGAAGTGCACACTTGCACTTTAGTTTCCTCTTTTGGTCTGTTTTAATAGACCTGATGGATGGCTAAGATATATTAAAGTTTGATTCAACAGCAACAGTCTTATTGATTTGAACAATTATTCATTTAGGGCAAACCTTTTTAGGGTCCATATTGAACTTCTTCCTCCCCATGGCGATCTGTTTATTTCTTTGTGTTGTCTTACTGCAATAAGAAACACACAGAAACATATATTTAATGACAGTTAAGGGTGTGGTACCCCCAGGATGCTTTGTTTGTTGAATCGGTCACTTTAGGGTGGGTTCATCCAGGATGTTGCATAAGTGACTTTGTTTATCTACTACTCTTTCAACAAAGACTGAGTACAGTGGGTTAAACCTGAAAAAAAGATAAACGTGACTGCATGTGACTCAGCATCACCTCTGCAGTTTAACACATCCTGCAGCCATTTGGATGTTGCTCTTCTTTATAAACACATTTTGCAAGCAGCCCTCAGGGAAATCCCCACTTTTGTGTGTCGGTGCATGCTCCCTACGCTTCCTGTGTGCTCAAAATAGCCCAAAGCCCTTTGCCAGCTGCACCTGAGACACAGCCTGACACACGGCCTCACTCCACCTCATCAACCAATCGGATGAGAGCCTTTGAATACAGACTGTTTGTCTAATGTCTAGTCAAGGGACTGTCCCACTTCACTCCTCAAACAAAGAGGGTTTAACAGACAGACATACACACACACATACAGGGGACAGGTGTGATAGTAAGGCTCCAACCAGAGCAAAAACATTGTTGGCTTTGAAGAGCAATTGAGGAGGCAATATAAGAACATAATGGACTAGTAATGAAACATTTGGTCAATAAATCGATCAAATCTGACTGAAACAAATCCACAACATTGACAATAGTTAATTATTGGTTTAACTCAAGCAGTCTGCCAAACATTTGTTGATTCAAGCTAATCATATGTGAGGATGGGTTAATTTTCACAGTTTAGTTTTGGAGTTTCACACTGTTAATCATGAAAAAACAAACAAAGTGAAGATATCCCCATTGGCTCTGTAAAATAATGATAGCTGGTTTTTCACTATGATATGACATTTCACAGAAAATAAGAATTCTGATAATTGATTAATTGTTTAAGGAACATTTCTAGCTAAAACGGCAAAAAATGTGCTGGTACATGTGCTTGCTGATTGATATTACTTTCGGATTTATTTCATTTTATATAATATTTAACTGAACTTATGAGGGTGTTGGCAAAATGAATACGTCTGAATATGTCCTCTTGGCTTCGGGAAATTGCTGTGGGCATTTTATTGATAAAAACCAGTAATCTAGTAATCAAGAATATAATCAGCAGTTATAATGATGATACAAATGTAAAACACTCACCTCTCCCCCACGCAAGTAAGCTGCTCAATCTCAGTCATTACCTCGGAAATCTCAAACTTCAGCCGCTGCAGAGAAAGATACAAAAAATGAACGACTATGATTTGAGCTTTAATAATTCTAATAAAAAGACAGAGGAAGACACCATAAATCTAGCAGCTGCTTTGAAGAGGTTCATCATGTAAAGGTTACATACCATTTAAGGGCATCCTAATGACAGCTTTCCTTATAATTAGGGCTGGGTGATTTGGTTTTACTCAATATTACACAACCATAGTAAGATAGATAGATAGACAAGGATTATCTGGCATTATAAGATGATGGACAGTTGGGAGGCTTAAGTCTTTTCTGATATATGGACAAAAACACTCATACATTTTTTTTAACTAATGTTTAATGCCAATAACTTTGTTCAGTATTGCATCATGTATGTCTTCAGACAACACAATTTGATAATAGCACCCAGTCCCTACCTACGATAACAAAGAAAAACATCATGATTGGACCGTTACTCACTTCAATATCATCAAGAAGCTCTTTTTTCCTGCGTCGTATGTTCGACAGCTCATCTCTTTCCTCCAAAGACAGGTCCTGGGGTACTGGAAAATACAGGGAGAAGGGAAAATTAAAGAGCATGTGTGAGTATAAGAGAGGGAGGGAGGTGCACATTTATGAGGATGGATTACATTAATTCACCTTCCAACCAGCCAGTCAGTCACGGGGATTTAGTGCATACCTGCATTACTCATGACCTGAATTAATACACTAACAGAGGAGTTCATACACTCTCAGGTAAGTTAGTAAAGGGGAATTCAATACATAACAATGTTTCCTAATGTATATTTTGTTCAATGGCAGGTGGATTTAACCAATTCTCCAATCATACAGTAAAAAACATTATAATCTATTAGTGTACAATACCAGTTCTACTTAAATATCGTCTCAAAGGTCTGACTGGAAAATCTAAAGTTTTCTGAAAGGCCCGTCATTTGTCGTCTCAAGACTTTGATTATTTGTATGGTTGGACATTCTTTTTTCAGAGCGAAGTGCTGACGACATTATGTTGAGGCTCAGATCACGGAAAGAAAGTCTAAAACAATATATTGACATATTTTCACCTCAACCTAAGAGTAGTTTATTGACACGTACAGCAAATACTGAGCAACATTATTATTATGGCGCTATTTTTGGTCTCCTCCCACAACATATTATTATGAAACACCTATACATTGTTTTCACAGTGTCATTATGAAGGATATGTAAACATTTGTATTCATGTCTATTCACGGCACAGTATAAATATAGAGCAGGTGTTAGAAAAAACCATATAACATGTAGTTTCTCATAGCAATTATTTTACAAACCAAATGAACCGACCGCTGAGCATCTGGTAAGGCCCGGCCGCCCCCTCAAATATTGGCTTTCTGATAGTCTCTGGTCGGCCCCTCATCTGGGGTAATTAACCCTTCAGAGAGAGCGCGGCACACATCACACAACACGCCTGATTTACTGCACGAGCACACAAATACTGTATACACAGGTGACTACACAATACACACGCCATGCATATAGAATGTTCACTTCACACACAGCACAGTATTTATTCTACACTACGGGTCCTTGGGTCTTTCATTTAACCGTGCCACGTCAACTCCCCCCCCCCCCAGACCCCTCGGAGGACCTCCCCCTCTCTCCTCCGACACATCAGAAAACAGCAATCCATTTGAGAGTGAGCTGACAGGAAGTAGGTCATTTTCACATGGAGCAATACCAGATTGTGATTCTCCAGTGCCGTTTCCCACACACACACACACACACACACACACACACACACACACACACACACACACACACACACACACACACACACACACACACACACACACACACACACACACACACACACACACACACACACACACACACACACACACACACACACACACACACACACACACACACACACACACACACACACACACACACACACACACACACACACACACACACACACACACACACACACACACACACACACACACACACACACACACACACACACACACACACACACACACACACACACACACACACACACACACACACACACACACACACACACACACACACACACACACACACACACACACACACACACACACACACACACACACACACACACACACACACCTCCAACCCCAGTGCTTGAAGTGGGGGAGAGAGCAGATTCTAATCCCCCAACTGAATCATACCGCTAAGCAGCTTTGCAATTCAGACGATTTCCCCCCGTTGTTTCCCATCCCAGTGTAAATAATGGAAAAAGAAAAGTAAAGTTATATCCTCTCCATTGTTTATCAATCTACTGCATCTCTCTCACACTTTTTGAATCCTCCCCTCTGCTCAGTCTTGCTCTGTAAAACAAAGTGACTATTAGGTCTATTAGGTTATTACATTGTGAGAGCTTGGAGCTCATGTTATCACAGAGCAGCAGCCAGTGAAGAGAGCAGGGATCCAGATGGCTGTGTGTGATCATCTCTCTCTCACACAGCACTGTATCTACCGACTTCAAAAAGATGAAATAGGAGAAGACAAGCACAGGAGGAAGAAAGAGAAATACTCTTAAAAAGATGCTAATGCAATATAAAGACCATGTCTACCAAGTATCGTGCAGTTGAATAATGACTCACCCTTCATTTGTCAAGATATATAAAAAAAGGTTATTATACTGGCAAGACTACAATAAAGAAAAGTTATTATATGATAGATCCATATGTTGTAAATGCTCTTGATGGCAGCTGACATAATTCCATCCCATATAGACTGATCTTTTGTCATTTTTGCCAAGTGGCAGTAGAAGTGGAAGAGAGGTTGTTGCTACTGTGTGGGTGGATCATTTGGATGCACATTTCCCCTTTGTGGGACGATTAAAAAGGTACTCTGATTCTGCAAATGGTTTTGCTTTCCTTACATTTTTCTCTTTAATTTTTATCATTTTTTTATTCTATAAAGTGTGATTGCATATAACGTCAAAGGAGAGATGTGATTAGAACAGTATTTGTCCGTGGAGGCATGACGTTGACGTTTCAAATTGAGAAAAAAAATGTATGTGTGTTCAGAGAAAAGATTAAAAAACAGAAAGATGTAGCCTACTGTTTTACTGTGTGAACACACCATTACTTTGCATTTGTGTGTAAGAAATGTCAAATTCCAAACAAGGTCCATTTGGTATTTGTTTAGAAGGTTTCAATCATATCACACAATCGTTTCAGCAGATTTGCCCATTTTGTGTACATCATTATCAAATACATGTGTTCATGATGTATGTGTGACTATTTGGGAGTCTTAGCATCTTACATTGCTTTTCCCTTGTCTTTGCAACACATCTTTGTTCTATGGACCCCGTCTGTGAACCGTCTGAGGAGTTGAATAGAACACAAAAGAGAGAAAAGTTGTTAAGAGGCAAGATCTGCGTGTGAAAGAAACAAGGACACAAAAGGATGCTCTCAATGCCAAACTGCAAAGAAAGGGAAAAAGTCAAGAGTGATGAACGAACAGATACCGGCACTCCAGACATCTTCACACTCTCTGCCTCGGTTGCTCTCTTCCCTTGGCTTCAGTTAAACAGCCTCATAAAGCAGTAATTGTAGAGAAAAGAGACCCTGCAGGCAACCTGTGATGCGCAACAAAAACCTCCTCCATCCCTCCTACTCTGAAAGAGCTGGCCTGGACCGGAGAATGATTGTCTGAAGAGACTGAACCTGTTTTGGGTAATAATTCCTGCGTTGTGTGTGTGTGAGAGAGAGAGAGAGAGAGAGAGAGAGAGAGAGAGAGAGAGAGAGAGAGAGAGAGAGAGTGTGTGTGTGTGTGTGTGTGTGTATGTGAAGACTTCTACTGTACATCCGAGACTGGACATCTCATGCATTAAACATGAAAGTCTAGGAATGTAGAGTGTGTGTTTCTGCGTGTGTATTTCCCTAGAGAGCAGCCCTCCTGATAAAAAAATTAAATAAAAATCTATTTTAGGTTATATACAAAGACTCCATGCTTAACCCCAGGCACAGCCACATAGATTACCAATGCAACACCACTAAACCTTCTATATTTAATATTACCCAGGGGGCTGATGTTCCATTGACAATCAATATATAATCATAATAGTTCAAACTTGCATGTTTAGCCTTTTTAACCCCAATAGGTCTGACAGCACGCATGGATGAGCAAGTGCCACTATGCAAGTTTCATTCAGAGCAGATTCATCAAAGGAAATGTCATAAAATTGTAACGTCCTATTTCTTATGTAACAATGCCCTTTATCCCTTCACCCGGTAATTTATAACGTGTCAACAACATATCATTAAAGAACACCTATCATGCTATATTTGAACAATATATTGTAGGGCCATACCTATATAAAGTATATAAATATAGTTTTTTTTTCAAAATACCAAAAAGATCCTGCACTTTAGCCATGCCTCATTTCGCTCTATTTGCTCTTTCCAGCGCTGTTTTTGCAGGGGGCTGATTCTGTGATCTGCAGCTGACCACGCCCCCCTGCAGGAGAGGGGAGCGTGCTCTGAGATCAGCTGCTGGGCTGCAGCGGGGAGAAGAGGGGGAGAAAAAGAGCTCTCCGTCCACCGTGTTTTATTCTTATAGAAGTAAGAAGAGAAGTAATGGGGCAGAAACCCTCCTTTTTACGCAGCGGTCCAGACATAGACATCAAACGGCGACACATATTCAGTTGCCAATTACTTTTGGCATTAGGGCAGGGATATCTAGATACTTTCCAAGGTTTGACATAATGAATTGTGCTACTTTTAAAGCAAGCAACGACCCAAGCCAGGACCAGCTAGGGTCAACGTCTGATACGACAACACAGACATTCAAGAGTTAACAACCAAGTGAGATGAGATTGACTTGAGTAGGAGTTAGTCTGAAAGCAGTTGATTGCTACACAAACAAGGGATTTACAGGAAAGCGATGCCTGCATATTTTACTGTTTGTGCTTATATCTCATTGATCAAAGCTTCTCTGTTCAGAAATCACTGTCTAGCCACTTGAGGCAATCAGTTTCAAATATTGCAGGAAGTAATACACAATATAAATGTAATCCTTTAACTCTGCATTATACTTTCTGATCCTGGTCACATGATAAAGAAATACAAATATTGGCTCACAAACAAGGCACATTATAATATCAAAGTGCAGTAAAGTAAACATTTTCATCCTTCAAGTTATTTTGTATCCCATGACTAATTGTAACGTTTCCTGCCCTAGACAGTCATAAAAAGGAAACAGATCACATGCATAATGATCCATGCCACTGATAACAGAGGCCCTGTTTCAGCTCAATTAAGTTCTTTGTTGGAGTCACTGATCACTGTCTCGTTACATGTTAGTCTGTGGGAGAATCCTAAAGCCCCAGCTACTGAACACTGCTCAGGATCCTGAATAATACATGACTGCCCTGTCCCAGTCCACAGCTACTGTCTAATGCTTCTGGAGATACTGGAGAGATTGGGATCTGACTGACGTGACCCACAGGCCTTTATTGGCAGATTTCAAAATCTAATGACAAAACGGCTTTGAAAGTAATGCCTTT